TCCGTGTTGAACCTGCCGTGCCTTGCTTCCTTAGTCTCGAATTTGGAACGTGATGAACTCCATTGCGGACTGATCTTGAGATTGAGCTCTCAGGGGTACCTGCCTTTTCAGTCGCTGTACCTGCTGACGGATATGATATACTGGGTAAATCTACGTCTTATATTCGCCATACCACTAGGAGAGTAGAATGAAATAGTAATGCGAGCGCTCCTTTCTATTTCGCTCGATGAATTAACGCATCATTCTCATACTATGCTTCTTTTCAAGGTATCAAAATGGAAACTATCGTGAGATATCATAATAGGGGGTTAGGTCATATTAGCGAAGCGTAGACGGTCATATGAAAAACGTGCCTGAGCGTGTGCTCGTGCAAAAGGTGGAATAGGGAGATAACGATGGAGGGTGTATGCATAAGGATTCGATCAGTAGACACTCCCTCTAATACTCTGGTCTCGCTGCCGTTCGGCCTCGAGCTCGGCGTCGGCGTCATCCCCGTCATCTGCGCCGTTGTTGTCGTCGTCGTTCGCGTGTAAGTGGGCCTGCTGGGATTCGTGCTCGAGGTCTGTGTGGTCGTTATGGCTCTCTTGTTGCGCGGGTGGTTCAGCAGGGGTGTACGTAGTATCTTGCGACCGGTCCGTGTCGATGTGCATTGCACCCCTTTTGGAGTTGCCGTGATTCGCCGAGCCTGAGTGGTGAGTGTGGTTGTGGTTGTGGCTGGGGTTGTGACGGTTATGGTTGTGCTTATGGTGTGAGCGCGTCCGTTTCGGTCTTTGTACCTGCTTGGCGTGGCTTTCATCGTCGCCGTCGTCGGCGAAATCATGCGATGAGTCCGGCTTGTGTTGGTCGAGTCGGTCACCGGAGAAACCTGCGTCTTCGCGCTCGTCCTCGGACGGGGTGACGCTGTTTGCGCCACTCAGGGAGCCGCCGCCGTCGCGGCCGCCGAGGTGGTGGAGAGCGTAGTTCGACCTTGGTGGGTGGAGGAGATGATCCTCGCTGTCGCGGTGAAACTTGGCTAGGTCGGGTCGCCTGGGTATCGGGTTTGGGCTCGAAGCAGCCCTCGAATGAGGGCTGGGCCTTTTGGATATTGGAGTATTGCGGGCGGTGTTGGCATCAAAGTCCGTAGGAAGGATGGTTGGTTGCCAAGTAGCTTCAACATCCCGTTTCGAGGGATCGTCAGAGGGGGCGACAGTCTGGTCCGTCGGTCCAATGTCTGAGGAACAGTCTCCTAGTGCTGGCTCGGGGGCCGTGATGTATTGCTGATCGACCTGTGTTTTCGCTATCAGCGTCATTCTCCAGTGACTCGACCGAGGGATAACTTACATTATTCCTTGTGGAGGGTTGCGCCTCACTCCCAACACGCGTCGGGTCACCGCCAGTCGTCCGTGAAGCTCGTAAAGACCGTTTTCTGTGGAGGCCGTGGTTACAGCCGTCGGGACATCCGCCCCATTTGCGTCTGATCGGGACAGGAGTTGGGGCAGGGGTGAGAGAAGTAGCCGAACTGAGGTCTTTGCTCGCTCGCTCCCGTTGTCTCTCGTTTTCCTTCTCTTTCCTCAGCTCGGACCATGTACGCAGCTTGTTCTGAAGGACATATTTCCCATTGTCCGGGTTGAGCCTCATGATAACGAACTCGCAGTGATTGATATTGCGTAGATCTTCGAAATATTCGACACTCCAGTGATACCATTTCATCAGAAAGACCCTCGTCATGAGTCCATGGGTTACCAGTACGCAGACACTGGCAAAATCATTCTCCCCGAAGAGTCGCCAAAGCGACTCGTTGAAGCCGCTGATTCGGTCATAGGCATCCGCAGCAGATTCACCATTCGGGATTCGATAGAAGAAATGTCCATAGTCCGCCCTTTCCAGCCACATCCGCTCCATCTCCGCAGAGCACGGTTGAAAATTGCCAAAGTCCTGCTCTCGCAGCCGTGGTTCTTCGTATACTTTGATGGTATGTCGGGGAAATGGCGACGGGGACGGAGAATCGGAGGTCAAAGACTCGAGGATCCCCTCTGTAGTCTCCCGAGTCCGACGGTAGGGGGAGGTAAAGAAGTGTATCGTATCATCGGGCCGTAGAAGGGCACGCAGCTTGCTACCTGCCTCCTTTGCCTGTCGATGTCCTTCGGGTGTGAGCTGGACCCGATGATCAGGGATCGTTTGGTGGATTTCCCGATTTTTGTTTCCTTCTGACTGCGCATGGCGGATCAAGATGATCATCTATTGACTGAGTGAGACGCTGGGGTGTCAGACATAGAATGCGACCGAGGGAAAGCTAACCCGCGGTTTACCCATGGTTGAAACAACATCGGTTGATGTTGGGAGGAGAGCGGAGAAAATGACAGTGCTGGATTCAGATTGCGGTCAGGCAATGACGGGTTATCGGATTATACACCAGCAAGTGGTCTTGATTAGGAGCTCTTTTGTCTAGTCAGAGCAACTGTGATCTGTACAGTAGAACTCCAAAGAGCAGAAAGTGAGGATTTTGAAATGAGAGCGGCGGCAGTACCTGAGTATCCCTCAATCTGGCTAGTGTGTCGGCTGTGAGATGTTGAAGTTGCAAACAAGCCCTGGCCAGTAGGTAATATAGCAATATCTAGAGGCCTCTAGAGAGTTATATTCATTGGAATGGGCTCTATAATTGAGAGACAAAGACTGACCCAGACAGAACTGCCTTGGGTTATGCTGAGGAGTTTTAGGGGGATGGGATGGACTGGCGTAGGCATCAAGGAGGAAATGCGGAGATGCGCTTGTTGCCGCAATGGCTGCCGTACCGCATCACCACTAGGTAAGAAGGTGTTGGAGACTCCGTCGCATCAGCTTCTAGTCAGTTCTTCTCCCACCGTTGGTCAGCTGTACTTTGTTTCATCAACTGCTTCCTCCCTTTGCAGAAGGGAACAGCCACGGGATTCACCATGACTGACTATCTTTACGACTTGTTGGCTCCTCATTTCTCTCCAGCAGATGCTGCCTCAACACCGTTGGCTCCAGATAATGACACAACTACGGCTCAGTACTTGAACCGACTCTCAACGCTGCCCCTGGAGGCTTTGGAAACGACAGAACCGCAATCTCTGGCGCAATCCTCACATTCTACCCTCCTGTCTCTCCAGGCCTTATCGAATCGCTCGCACAAGGCCTTCATCACTTCTGCCGATAACCTCTCGCAGCTCCGTACCTCGATTCCCCAATTGACCCGCAACGCACAAAATTTGCGAGATGCAATCCCCAAACTTGACGAAGAGGCGGTCCGATTTTCTACCAAGTACAGCCGAGCCGCAGAGAACCCGTCTCTGGAGCGGCGAAAGAAGGTCATGCAGCTGGCGAGGAATGTCGATCGACTTTCCGACATTCTAGAACTTCCCTCTCTTCTATCCGCAGCTGCCTCATCGGCAGCTGCAAGCTCTGTTGCGGCGGGCGGCACCTCGTTTTCTACAACCTACTCATCTGCTTTGGATTTATACGCCCACATCAAGCGATTACAGACACTGTACCCTGATTCTCCCCTCGTCAAAGATGTCGCCTCTCAGGCCGAGGATGCGATGAAGGAGATGACAACGAATCTGATAGCGGGTCTTCGTACGCAGAACCTTCGGTTGGCAGCTGCTATGAGAATGGTCGGCTGGTTACGTCGAGTGGCTCCGGAATTGGAGGGCTTGCACAGTGGCGGCGGAACGGGCACCGGGGAAGGCGCACTCGGTGCGTTGTTTCTGGTTTGCAGATTGGCAAATTTGGTTTCGACACTAGAGGCATTGGATCCCTTGCGAGAACTAGCAGACCAGGAGACCCAGCGCAGAACCCGGAATACAGATCAGAAGGAAGGGACATCGAACTCGTCCTGGTCTCACGGTCACCAGACAGAAAGATTCTTGAAACGATACATTGAGATCTTCAGGGAGCAGAGCTTTGCAATTATTTCCTTGTATAAGAACATCTTCACCCCGGACCAAGCCGAGTCAGAGTCAGTTATTGCAGGACTGCGAGGGATTGATTCCCGTTTTAAAACGAGCTCGTCACAGCCAAATCGCCTGGATGATGCCTTACAATACCTTCCGCCAGCTTTGGCAACCTTTCCCAAGCATCTCGTCCAGCTACTGACTGACACATTACGCACCTATCTACCCAATGTCCAAGATAAAAGCTCGCGCGAAAGTCTCCTAACTCAAGTGTTATATTGCGCTGCTAGCTTGGGAAGACTGGGAGGAGACTTCAGCATGATCCTGACGGAGATGAGTACCGCGGTAGACGAGCACGAGGAGAGGGCCGTCTATGAGTGGGAAGAGGTTACACGGAAGCACCGAGCCTTGGCAGGGCGGTTGGAACAACTCACCGGAAATGCCTCCAAAGGGACCCCGCGGGTGACTTCACCTCTCCATTGAACAACAGCAGCGAGATAAAGGCTAGTAGCAGTAGCCTAGACTGGAGAGCCTCAACGCATGACTGTCTTCCAGTCGAAACTCACGATATGCATAGGATATATCTGCCGCTGACGGTCGACGGGTGATCGGCTGATGGGGCGTCTTCATCGGCGAAGGAATGGCCCCAGAGACTCTAAGCCTGTTCAGGTCTAGCTGCGGGCGCCTTTTGGCCTCCGCCCTCCAACGTTGTCTGGACCGCCGTCATCTTCCCTCCCCCCATCACATCCCATTTCATCTCTTTTTATCTCATCTCGTTGCGTTTCAGCGCTTCAAAATCAAATGCCAGCTTGTAGCTGACATGTCTAGCTGCTCTCTGCAGCATCTCTTATATACTATATTCCCGCACGCTCTCTCTGTTCCTATTCCTCTATGGTCGGATTTTCGTTGTACTATCTCCCTCGCCCTTACTTTGTCCTCCCCGGTGTGACGGACTCTCTTTGTGTGTAGTCGTCCCGTCTCTTTGTGCTTGACCACACAAAGAAATGAGACCTTCTTATACGGCACTTTGGAGAGCTCAGGTTTTACATAAATTACTCTGGACTTCCGGCGCACTCGTTCCCCCTCTGAGCCAGAGTCTTATCTCAAATGGCCACCTCGGCTCTGTTCCCCTCGGGTGGATTAATTGATCCCACCAAAGACTACCCTATCATCTTGGGTGATCAATTGGCCGGAGGAGATACGAAACCGCAATCGAGATTAATCAACATTCAGTATAATTATAAAACGAAGTCCGCGTCCTCGCAGCAACGCACCCATATCACCCGATCTGCGCAATGTCCGGACCTGTATAACCTCACGATCACAGACAAGGCACCGAAAGCCGATAATAGTGTTATAACATACTCATACAAAGGCAGCGTGGATCCAGAACATGCTACGTCGGAGTCACGCGAGCAGAATCTGGTTTTGATTTTCGATCCGGACCGTAAGGCCTTTGTTCTCGAGTCGATTGCGACGCAGTTGAACTTCAATCTTCGGTCGGCACCTAATAAAACTGAAAAGCAGGTGACGGAGCAGTATGCGCAGCTGCGAACATTGCATGATGAAGACCAGGGTTCTGGTGACGACGGAGCAGTGTTAACAGCCGCTGACACTGGCGACGGTCCCGCTGATGACAGCAATCCCTACGACTACCGTCACTTCCTGCCAAAAGAAAATCCTGACGATGACAAGTCTGTTTCGGATGGTGCAATGTCAGCTCATCTCAATGCCAGTAAAGCTAGTACCCCTCTGATGACCGCGGCTGCCAAACCTACTCCAAGTCCCCAAGTTCGACCTAAGCCTCAAACCAATCCTCTCCGTCGACAACCACGCCCGAGCAAACCTTCTAGAAACCAAACAAAAGCTGCTCCCAAGACGAATCTGGAGCCTCCAGCGCAAGTTGAGCGGGAGGAGCCTCAGGAGGAAGAGATAGAGGAGGTGGAGGAGGAGATCCCAGCTGGCGAAATGAAATCATCCCCTTCGGACACTGGAACCGAATTGGTATCATCCTTCAAGGCGGCTCCGTCACCAGGCTCTAATATCATAATTGACGGAGATCTGATCATCGACATGGGATCGCCCCCTCCATCTCGCCCCGCTTTCAGGGTTAATCCAGCACACTTCTCGTCCAACAATACCCCAGCAAACGAGGAAGATGATGAGGAGGAAGAAATGGAAGCTCTGCGGCTACCATCTCCTGTCGGCCGCGGTGGTGCTTCGTCTGAGAGGGTGGAAACAGCACCGGCAACACAGGAGGAGATTGAAGATGATGACGATGCACTAGCGGCTGAAATGGAGGCTGCTTTCGAGGAAGAAGCGAGGAAGCAGGAGTACCAGCCACCGTCCCTGCAGTACCATGTTCCCAGTGATGACGAGAGTGAGGTTAGTGAGGAGGAATGATACCTTTCTGTCCTATTGTCTTATTTTCCCACATCTTGCATCTCGGCCCCAACTCCGAATTGTCGCGATACCTTTGTCTACAGTATTCAGTTTTCTGTGTGTCAGATTTATTTGCGTGCATGGCGTCGTTTTTGGAGTTTTGCAGCGAGGGCACTGGACCCAGCCCAGCCCAGTCGACCAGTTCACTAGAGGGTAACGATACCACGATCGAATTATAGTTGTACTCAGAAATCTAACGAATTCATTTTCTCTCAATTGAACTCGCCAATTTCAGAAGCAGCCTGATGTGTTGTAGGATACGGATACTCCTTGTACTGTGTCAACCGGAGCAGATCTACATACCCCGGAACAACTCGATGATCCGGGCCTTTCACATCCGCACTCCAGACTATCTTTTGGAGTGTTGAGAGACACTCTGAGCAATCCAGACTTCACAAGACCGCAGTATAGCCTATCATTGAGAGCCGCTTTTGATAAAATCAAAGAGGTTATTCCGGCTACTCAAGCAGAAGAGTTTCGGAGCTTCTTCCGCACCTACCCAATCACTCGTTCGGCAAACACCATCTGCTCGTCTTGAGGACGCTTCACAACTCACCTTGATCGCGAAAAGTCAACTCGCTATACCACGAGGCTTACCATGCGCTATGTTTGATACGAACTCATAAAACACGCAATTCTGGCATCTCCTTCCTGCGAAGGGAGGACAGACACGCAGCACCACGTGCGGTCAGCGCGCCCTGCTCAGCTGTCCTCCTCGAAGACATAGGACTTGAACGAACGCCGTTCATAGTCCAAAGCACTTTCCGACAAACACCGGACGGAAACATTGTATCGACTTGATTGCGTCTCAGGGTGGTTGACCTGCGACAAGACAATCTCCTCAATACGTCATGGCCACGGCACCGTCGCATTCCCCGGAGAAACGGCCTCTACCTGCTGAGTCGAATCCCGTCCGCCACGCATCGCAAGCCCAATGGCTCTTCACAGATGAAGAACTCACTCGTACGCCATCCCAACTCGACGGCATGAAGATGGAAGCGGAGCATACTAGTCGCAGCAAAGGTGTCAATTTCATTACCCAGGTCGGCATCATGCTCAAGCTACCCCAGCTCACTTTGGCGACCGCAGCCGTCTACCTTCACCGGTTCTTCATGCGCTACAGCATGGTCGATATACCGCAACGACCGGGCATGCATCCCTATCCCATCGCGGCCACTGCGCTATTCTTAGCTACGAAAGTCGAAGAGAATGTTCGGAGGATGAGAGAGCTCGTGGTGGCCTGCTGCCGAGTGGCGCAAAAGCAGCCGAATCTGGTGGTGGACGAGCAATCCAAGGAGTTTTGGAAATGGAGGGACACAATCCTGCACCATGAGGACCTACTCCTGGAGGCGCTCTGCTTCGACCTGCAGCTCGAACAGCCGTACCGCATCCTCTACGATTTTATCTGTATTTTCGGCGTGAATGAAAACAAACCGCTCCGCAACGCCGCATGGGCCTTTGTCAACGACTCCATGTTTACGGTCCTCTGCCTACAGTTCAACGCACGCACCATCGCTGCCGCCGCTCTATACGCCGCAGCGCGGCACTGCGACGTGGGTTTTCCGGACGACGACCGCGGTCGAGCGTGGTGGGAGCAGATTGACGTGGATCTGACGCAGGTGCGTCGCGCCTGCATGAGAATGGCACAGCTCTACGAGAACAATGCCATGCAGAAACATAGCCAGTACTACCCGACCACCCCAATACTGTCGGACGAGGGCACTGAGAAGACCAGGATCCCGCACGCTGGCAGTCCCGCAAATCGTCCTCCAGCGGAGTCAGATGTCAATCACGGACGGAAACGATCGAAAGAGCCAGAAGACAGCGGCGAACCTCGAGGAGATGGCTCAGCACCCTCCAACGGAGAGCGTTCTCCAAAACGACCACGCAGGGAGTCGGATGCTGCGCCACATGGTAGCTCGCAGGATCAACAACAGAGCCCATCCGCTCCTTCCTCGCAAAGCCTACCAAACGCAGGGAGCCCTTCCTCCTTCTCCTCTCAGGGCCGGCCCGTCTCAACGGCCAGGTACCTCCGTCATTACCTCATCCACCCACTCACAACCGTCACCCGCATCCCCTACCACCGGCTCCCCGTCCATTCCCACGTCGAGATAGCGACCATCGTCCTCCGGGCGGCGGAAAAGTGGCAGGTCCAAGGGAAGCCGATCCAATCCAACAACGCATTGACGAAATCGTTTCACAGAATATGCCGTTGCACGGTGGTCCGCCAGTACCACCACCACCACCACCACCCGGAGCCGGAGCGCGGATCCCCAACAGACGAGACTCAGTCGATCACCGCGGACCCGATCGGTACCGCGGATACGATGATCCCGCGAGACGACGGCGGCCGTCCTTCGGAAGGAGGTCGCAGTCATTCGAGGAACAGCATCCACCGCCCCCAGGGCACCCTCACCTTCAACCTCTACCCCACCGCCACCACCTCCCGATATTCCTCAGCCACCACCTCCACCCCCGCCTTCGCAGCCGGAACAAGCCGCTCAGGAAGACGAAGGCGGGGGCAGTGAAGAAGGGGAGCTTTGATTGTGAATTACTAAAATGCAGAGAATCTCCATGATTCAGACCAGGAAAAAGAGGGAGTCTCTCCAACTGCCTGACTTATAGTGACCTGGCGGGACGCCGCACTGCGTCGTGGGTCATAGAAGTGATTATATTAGCGGCTCAATCAGCAGCTGCATTCATTGCATTTATGCACTACTTCCGGAACATGCATTGGTTGGCGGGCTGGTCGACTTTATTTGGATAGTATATTATTCGAGATTCCAGCAATATAGAACGGATATTGTACGCCATTGATACTTGAATTGTGAAGAACCCACTATATACGGTTTCCAAGCAAGATATCCAGTAATGCAAGCCGTAGTAGAATTGAAACAAGGCCGAAAGTGAAATGCAACCATTAGACACAAAAAAAGAGCTATCAGTAACCTTGGGTCATAACGCCAACTCCATTATTGTCAAGTAAGCTGCTGGAAGCCACAAAGCTGAATCCACCGAACGGGTCATTGTCACAACTCATCCCATCCGGACCTGTCGACATTGCACGCTGGCTGGGGCGCCGGCGAAGAGAGTAATAATCGTCAAACCCATTGCTGGTGACGACCGGACTCAGCGGCAGGGCGGTAAAGTCGGCAGAGAAGTTCTCCGCCAGAGCCGGATCCGTGACGACAGGGAGGATAGGGGGAGCGACCTCGCGGCGCTCGAGCGCCTTCCAGTCAATCTTGCGGAAGAAGCGATGGTTCTTGATGGTCTGCAGGTCCTTTGGCATGTGATAGCCGAGTCGCTTAGCGGGTTCCTTGCGTAACAGGCGGGTGAGAAGATCTTTGGCGTCCGGACCGAGGAAGTAGGGCAGCGTGAGCTTCTGCTTGACGATTTTCTCCTGCAGCTTAGCGTTGTTGTTGGCCCTGAAGGGCGGGGAGCCGGTGAGTAGATCGTAGCCGAGTGCGCCAAGAGACCACCAGTCGCAGGCTTTGCCGTACGGTTTGCCTTGAACGACTTCGGGAGCCATGTACTCAATGGTGCCCAGGGACGAGTTGCAACGATCGTCATCGTTGACTGCGATCTTGCTGAGGCCGAAGTCGGTCAGGAGCAGATGGCCATCGCGGTCCAGGAGACAGTTCTCTGGTTTGAGGTCGCGATAGATCACACCCACATTCTGGTGCAGATGTTCAAGAGCGAGAACCATTTCGGCCATGTAGAATGCGGCGGCATCTTCGTCGAACATGCGTTCCATCGCCAAGTGGTGGAACAGCTCACCACCCTGGGCATATTCCAGGATGAGGTACAGCTTTTCGTGATCCTGAAACGCGTAGAACAGTTTCACCACAAATGGATGACGGTTCACACTTTCCAAAATCGCGCGTTCAGTCTTGGTCTGCTCCACGAGTTTCTTGTGGACGGTGAGCGATGCCTTACGGAACTGCTTCTGAGCATACAACTTCCCCGTGAGCGCATGGCGTACAAGCAGAACGGTTCCGAAGGAGCCCTTGCCCAGGCAGAGCAGCGGCTCAAAATCTGCGGTTGTCATCTTGCGGCACAGCTGAGTGCGGACGTCCTGCGCATCGGGGAGACTCGCCGACGTTTCTTCCGCTGCGGCATCGGAGCTGACGAAATCATGCTCTAGGGGTACTTCGTAACTAGTTAGGACCTCTGTCTGGTCGCTGTCCGAGCAAACGCTTGCATTGCTCGGAGTTTCAAAGCACAGGTCACCCCGCGCAGCCTGAGCGCTACCGCTGCCGGACAAGCTGAGCGAATTGAGTTGAAGCTTCAAAGCGCTCACGCCACATCCGGCAGGTTGGACCATGGGACTGTTTCCATTGCTCTCCGTATGAGCGCGTGCTTGTGACGAAGGACGAGCCTTAGCACTTGTCGTCGAGAAATCCGAGTCTTCGTCGCCAGAGGCAAGTGGAGTAAATCCGCGAACGGTGGAGATGGCCCGGGGAGCTTCACTTGTCTGATATTTCTTCTTCTTTTTGCGACGGTTTGGTCTGCCGGACAAGGCCTCGACGTTGAGATTGGCCGGAAAGGGACTAACTTCATTGACATCCTTTGTGACCGGAACTTGCTTGCGGGTTGGACTGCCACCACTCATGCGAAAGCGACTATCAGGGTTATTGTCGAGAAGGCCATCGTTACGAGGTTGCGACATGTCCGCCTGGGGTGCAAAGACGTCTCCCACGGAAAGATCATCATGCATCGGTGCATCCATGTCTTCGGCAAAGGATCCCGGTCGAGGACAGCGACGGCAAGATTCGAACAATGAGATCGGAAATGCGCCAACAAGCACGCTTTGCTATTCAGACCTCAATTCATCCACTCCACCCCTAACAGTAAACAGGCACGAGCCTATCGAAGAATATCTGATCACGCAAAATGATTGTTAGCTCCCTTGTCAGACATTGCGGGGTAATTTCCAGGCGAAACGCGAAACAGCACGCAGGAGCGAGTGAGCAGACTATCCAGGGGCCCGAGACATACCTTCAACGCGAAAAATCCAGAGCTGAACGCACCGCTCCCACTGGTAATCTAGCAGGAAGTCACAGTCGTAGCTCTGAATATCTCACAGTTTACCGTCCGCCCTTCTTCAGGACGGACCAGGGACCCCTAGCCAAACCACCTCGGCAACCGAGAAGTCGAACAGCAGGGGAGCCGGTAAAACTTGAATATTAGACAACGCGTATTTCTCCAGAGTTCCGCGGGAAGCAAGCCCGAAGGTTCGATTCAAGGTCAAGGGGTGAGAGTCGGCAAGGCAGCCAGCAAAGCGGATAGAAGCGGACGAGGACAGGGAGGGCGCAGACAGGCACATAGAGGAACGGCAGATGTGATAAACGAGGATGAGAAGCTGGATCAGTATCCAAGTGAAGAGGAATAGTAGGATTATTTCTTGAGAGCAAGAAGTAAAGGAGAAATGGAAGCTGAATGTCAAGAGATCCAACTTTCACAAAGAAAAAGGCGCCCGTTACAGTGGAAAACGATGCGGGAGTTGCGGGGCCAATCAGAGCGCGTGTGACCTAAGCGAGACTATTCCGCTTTGAGTAGACTGCTTTCACGTGCTGTCGTCATTGGATCGAGATGGCGATGATAATGGTCTGTATTCTTCATTTGGACTGGGCATGTGTATCTTTGCAGGTCATACGAAGAAGACGAAGAGACTAGCTTAGACTGTCTTGGGTGCGTATATCACTGAGCCACTCGTAAGTGATCTACACGGCAAGGCGGAGGTTACCGTCAGAAGAGAGAACTACATACATACTCACGACCTGGTCCAACACGAAGTCATAGAAACAGTAAACATGCGTAAGGAAGCCTCCATACAGTTGAACAAAGAGAGGTTGTTTCGGTATCGACTTTCCTTGGGTATTTGTCCACAATATGTGCCCACTAACTAAGATGACAGTAAGCTGACAGGGACATGTTGTATAGAGTAGGTATGTCAGGACATCATATGCACAAAGCCACACAACTCGATGAGACTTTGGCTATACCCTTCCTCCTTCCAGATCGGATCTCTCGAAGAATGCCTGTGAGCGGGTGATTTCTATCCCAGATCTCTCCACAAAGGACAGTGCGCTGGGTTTCTCGACCCTCACTGTGACTCGTTCGTTGGCAAACTGCACGGTGGCTATGCGTGCAACGAAGGTTGCCAGTGCCTCCACTGTCTGGAATGCGGTCTCTTCCACTTGCTGAGACAGAGAGACGCAAGTCAGTTTGAGACTCGACAGGAAATAGTAAGATGAGGAGTGACTTACCTCAGCAACCCTTCTCGTCATCTCCTGATAAGTATCAACAATCGTCGAGCCCCAAGCCAATTGCCCAGGGCCTTTGAATTCCAACGAGATGATAACAGCCTGCTTCTCAACCCTCTCGTGGGAATTCACTCCGAGGATACAATGGCACCTGATACCATCAATCCGGAACTCCTCCTCCAGAACAACAGGGCAACGTTCCGCGTCAAGCGCTGCGTTCTCATCTCCCTGCCGATACCCCCAGACAGTGACGCTCCGATACTTCAAGCCTTCCTCCGCACGCAGCAGCGCCTTGGGCAGCTGCAACCAGACCTCGCATTGCCCAAACACACTATCAATGGGCGGACTGGCCAACGACAGCCCCTCGAGTGGCGGCTGTATCTCAGCCGACGCACTCCCTCTCCTCGAGCCCGGATGGCCATGGCCATGGACATGCGACATTCTCCGGATCCCAGCAGCCGTCTCATCGAGCAGCCCCAGGCCGCAGTTCGCGACAATCCCCGCAGTCAGCCTTACATCCAGTCCGATCTCTGTGCGCATCATCTCGTCTCTCCGGCTTCCGTCTGCGCTGACCATCCGCTGACTCGGGGAGAGGCTGTGTTTCCCCATGTTGCGTATGTCTTCGTCCAGGCGCCGGTAGAGCTTGCCGTAGTCGAGGGAGAGGGAGACGTCATCGGCAGCTGCGGCCGCGATAGCGGATGAGTAGGATAGTTTCAGTGATACGGTGCACGGTTGTGGCTTTCCATCGCGATGCCATGGGTCTGGTGCAACGGGCAAGGGAAGTTGAATGTTGCGAAGCTGAACGCTGTCCAGGACGGCTGGGTGGGAGGGGATATGGACGTTGACCCGTTGCTCGGCCATGTTTAGGATATGTATCGAGGGTAATGTTTCTCTTGTTGTATGGAGACGGATCTGCTCAAGTATCGGCTTTCAAGCTCAACAGGGTAAATTCACTGTTGATAATGGCAGTATCCTAGGTATCTTCGTGAGCAATGACCCTCTTCTGGGGCAGAATAAAGATAAACTCGAATCAATTGGAAATGAAAATTACCGATAAATAAATCAAGCTCGCAGATCATTCCACGCAATATTTTTAGGAAGCTATTGAGCGAGTCTGAAAAAAAGCCGAAGTCCTGACTCTTGACAATGAAGATGGCGGGGTTGCTCCGCCTCTAGTAGCGCGGCGAGACCCCATGACGAAGAATGATGATACTTCGACACAACTCTAATAGCGCTTAGGATGGATTTTGGGAAAAGATTTCCCTATTGGCTCTTTGCATGATCATTTGTTAAGCTCCAAGGCGACCTTGATTGAAATCATACGAACGGCAACTCCTAAAGTGTCAAGCTTTGGTGAGCCTTGTTCAGTGGCATCCAGCTCCCCAAGCTCCATTATCTTGCCTATCGCTGTCACCCAAGGAATCCAGCAAAGACTCCACCTATGGGGGAGTTATCTAAGTCCCTCTCTTCCGAGTCTTTTACATACCATCAATCAAGCATTGTCCGGGCTAGGATGTCAGGCTACCTTAATTAGCCCTGTGCGCACACCTGCATACGGGTCCTTCAAATTAAAATAGCATGAAAAAGACCAGTATAGAGGTGAAGTATTAGTTAGTTCAAATTTACAAGCGAGCTCTTCCCCAGGAGAAATGGCCGGTATGGGATTTTTTTTCAAGGACCAGATCGTCGAAAACTCAAGTCCAGTAAGATCCCTTCACGAACACAGAAACCACATGGGGTTTCAATTGATATTGCCAGTATCATTAGCAGCCAGAAGCCTTGGGGAGAGGAGATTTGCGATTAACCAAGGAAAGTCGTAAGTCCTGCAATCATGCACCCGTCGAATGCCCAATCCCCGGAATAGAGCTCCATCCTGGACCTGCAAGCAAGAGATTGTGGTCACACCGTATCCGGAATTTCACCCCTCAACACGGATGTAGGAAAGTCACTTCATCTTGAGATCCGCATGGTATGTTTTGCGATTTGGTCCCAGGTAATCGAATGCTTTGGTAAAGCTGCGGGCATCCCAGTAAAAGGAAACAATTATGTAGAAAGTCATGGAACAAAGGAAGCGAGACTGAATGGGTATCCGGCATGTATGCAACACAATTGAAGCAGAAAATTAGATTCTACCAGTATCCACGGCGGTCATAAGGTGGGTAGTCGCCTCTTGGGGGGGTCCGAGGACGTCCGTAGGGTCTCGGTGCCATGTATGGGTCATCATAGTGGCGGGGAGGTGGTGGAGGCCGGGCATCATAGGGGTCATCGTAAGGACGACGAGGAGGGGGATAGTCTTCAATCCGAGGTCGAGGAGGGGTGCGACGGCCGTAGCCGTCACGTTCATAATAGTCGCGGCGGAGCGGAACAGGCGAGCGTTCCCTGTAATGGGCGCGGGGGCTGTAACCGCGAGGCGCGGGGAATCTCCTGTCGTACTCATCGATAGGAGGATAACTGCGGCGGGGTGAACGGGACCGATATGGATCACGGAAAACGCGGTCGTCGTGAGGTTGAATCTGGAAGCAAACAATTAAGAATCCTGGTTCGTACGACATGTCCCTGGCGAGGTCCTTACATCGGCGACACAGCTCACTCGGGAGCCCTTGAACTCTCGTCCATCAAGCTTATCGATGGCAGTTTTCAGGTCAGCTGCAGTCTCGAATTCAACGAACCTTGGTTCTGTGTTAACGATTGGAAAATTATCATCCGTGACATTTCAAGCTTCACCCACCCTCTTCCTTGTTCGCGGCCAGTCTCCGAGTAGACAACGTCCAGACCAGATTGACGTGCAAAATCTTTCAGGTCCTATATGATCTAGTGGTAAGAATTGGCTTCCAAATGAGTGTAGAACCCCAGTCAAAACCGGGTAATGCAAGAAGGCCAGGAGAAGGTGAACAAAAGAAAAGAGACACGAATCATTGCAGGGACGGAACAGGAACAGGTCATATGTCGATCCAAGGGCTCCAAAGCTTTAAGTCCGCGGTGGTCACACTGTCATCCATCCAAGAAGGAAATTGTGGACATCCGGGTTGCGACTGCACTGGGACGTCTGAACGTTCTTGGATACATGCCGAGGCCATGTCACAAGCGAACAGGTTCTATGAGCTTGAAATATCGGTATTGACTTTGGGCCTCATGGATCCTGGGCTCGAAATCCTGGAAGCCGAAGTACAGAGATTGGGAAAATAGAAAGCTCATGGAACACTGGGTGGCCAGGTTGCGTGGTATCCAGGAGGTCCTAATAGAAGGAGAGATGGGCTGCTAACCTGCCAGCTTGTTTCCGGGAGACCAGAAACCAACATGCGGAAAATCGTACGACGGGGACGAGGCATGTTAGGGCGATCCGGGGGGCCAGGGAAATTTTCTTTGCGGCGTGGTCCACGCGCAAACTGGACGGTAAGTCGCTCGCCCTTGAAGTCGCTACCGTCTGTTTATAGATCAGTCAAGCAGATACGTCAATCATCTGCATCGACAACTTACGAAATGCTAGATGGTGGATTGTCAGCCAGGTGATCCTGTCCGAAGTGAAGGCAGGGCTGCTCAGGGAAATCTTACCAGGAACGACGTCTCTAGCATCCATCGCATCCTCGTACTCGATGAACCCGAATCCGTTCATCAACTTGATCTCTGTGATCTTCCCGGAGCCATGGCTACTAAAGTGTTCCTCGATGTCCTGTTTGGTCACTGAATAAAAGCAACAACGACGCCAACACGGGCGCCATCGGCAAAAGTCAGCTCATCGCAACACAAGTAACGAGCAGTCTAAAAAGCACAAGGTTAAACTGCCAAAAGAAAGCTATATCCGTAGTCATTAGGGGTGCTGCAGGCCGGGAAATATGGAGACTTAGGATGAGGGAGATGCTTGCTCGCCCTTACATCCCCATGTCCAAGGACAAACAAAGATCCCAGGAAACAGTTCGGAGACCCATGAGGGTTATGGGAAGACCAGGTGGTCCAAAAGAGTCTCTCCTAGTGGTTTTGGAAGGCGCGAGTTGACGGTATACAGCATCCAGGTTGAAACAGACGGGCATATCTCCTAGGAAAGGGTAGATTTGATGATGAAGGCCTGCATACCGTTGCGGGGAAGATTCCCGAGATAAAGTCGGGTGGAGGAAACCTCAGTCATGGCGGTTAGACAGCAGAACGATTCTGGCTTCCGTTGGACTTGTGGTGGCCAAAACGATCCAGGTCAAAAAGGAGATGAGCGGAATATCAGGAGTCCTGGGTTCAGATAGTCGTGTTCCTGAGATTAGTATGGCAGTGTATTCCTGTTATCCCGCGTAGTGGAAGGGCAGAATCTCCAGATGTGGCTCGCACGACGGGCTGGGAAACGGAAACCAGGCCAGGTTGGAAGGACGGAGTAGCTGCTAGATACAATCAGGTCAATATATCAGGTGAGAAAGGACACTAGATGAAAGAGAGGTAGGCGAGAGGGTGGATGAGAGCGAAAACTGAGAGGTTGAAGAAGGAGAAAGAGAGTCGAGATGAGGTGGAGGTCGGTTTGACCGCCAGACCAAAAGTACTCGAGAGGTACGTACCTGCGATCACCACCAGTTCTATCCAGTCTTTCCCTAGCTAAGTAAATCGTCCGCCAATCAGTAGACTAGGTGGTGCTGGGCAGGGCTGTGTTTCTTCCAGTCAGTTTTCCCTCTTCTAACGATGGACGAAACAATGCGAGACGTGATCGATCAATCAGAAGTGGCCGGCCCGCCTCACTTTTGATGATCCACGTGGCTCCGCCCAAATTGCCTTGAGAACTCCAGACAGCCTCACTTAAAATACTCACTAGAATTGTAAAGTCCAACCTATTCTTCTTGACGAACCGATCAACACTCGGCGGAAAACAAATGTTGTGATTATAGCGGCAGATACGAGGGTATTATCTGAGAACCTAGGTACTAGCTATATTTTCTGCCAGATCTATGGTCTGTCATCACTGGAAACATTACAGCTATTTCCATGGTTCAGCTCGCCAGTCCCCACGGGGCTCAACTTCAGCGCCAAAGACCAATCTGGGTCTCGGAAGTTCTCAAAGCGTGCTGCTGCGAAGTGAGAATTTGCCAAGAGAGAGAGACACGTAAATTTCTACTTCCGTATGCAGTGTAGTAATGCGAGTCTGTTGATACATGTATATCTAATCAACCTGTACATTCATGTACCCTGAGTTTTGTATATCCTTTTGTATAGTACAAACATCACCCGAGAGGGAGAACTTGTCAGTAGAAACAAGATGTCAACAGAGTAAAAGGATGCTCTAACCCGTAGAGTTGATCGACGGAAGTCCGGGGAGGATGAACTCGAACTATCCATTCCAAATGACACAGAAACAGTTGAAGACACCGTAAACGAAAGAGAAATTACAGTGGCTATGAGCTTATGTCTTGAAGTATTTAGGGCCTTCTCCGCCCTGGGGTGTTTGCCAATTGATATCTTGTGTCGGTACCTTGATATCACACGTCTTGCAGTGGATACAGCTGTGTGTCGTTAGCATCTGCATGAGGAAAAAGAAAAATGCGCGTAAGAGTCAAGACTTACTTTTGGGCATTGATTTGGAAGCGAACGCCGTGCTGCTTGCTTGGATCCTCGACGTACTCGTAGACGCCAGCCGGACAGAATCTGTTTTCAACGCCCTGGTACTTGGGCCAAGCGATGTCCGTATGCTTGTCCCAATCAGCGACCTGCAAATGAACAGGCTGGTCCTCCTCGTGGTTCGTTCCCGTTCGGCTCACACTGGTCAGGATATCGAAGCTGATAACGCCGTCGGGTTTGGGGTATTCGATCTTCTCACATTCAGATGCCGATTTGGTGGATGCTGCATCTGTACCGTGGTGCTTGAGTGTCCAGGGTGTTTTACCGCGGAACAAGAAGGCTTCTAAGCCGGAGTAGAGGATACCACCGTAAAGACCGAGCGCCGATTTGAATGAGGGCCGCATATTGCGCACTTCGTACAACTCCTTCCAGATAGAGGACTTTCGGAGAGCATCCTCGTATTCGAAAAGGAAGACAGTACCGTTGTTGTCATTCTGCAAAGCATTGAATGTAGCCTCCGCTGCCAACATGCCTGATTTCATAGCCGAATGAGTACCCTTGATTTTGGGAACGTTCATGAAGCCAGCAGTGTCACCGATGAGAGCGCCTCCTGGGAAAGCACATTTGGGAATCGACTGGAAGCCACCCTCGCTGAGTGCCCTAGCACCATAGGAGATGCATTTACCGCCCTCCAAGACCTCCCTGAACAAGGGGTGCTGCTTGAGCTTCTGGAACTCTCCGTAAGGTGAAAGCCACGGGTTTGGATAGTCCAAACCAACCACCAACCCAATGCTGACCAAGTTCTCCCCAAAATGGTACATCCAGGCACCACCGTAGGTGTCCGAAGGAAGCGGGTATCCCATAGAATGCACGATTTCTCCCGACTTGAACTTTTCCGGTTGAATCTCCCACACCTCCTTCAACCCGATACCGTAAGTCTGGGGTTGACTATCGCGTCTGAGGTCGTACTTCTTGATCACCTGCTTCGTTAAACTACCATGGCAGCCCTCGGCGAGGAGAGTGACACGAGCATGGAACTCCATACCCCGCTCAAAATTGTCCTTGGGCTTGCCGTCCCGACCAACACCAAGATCGTTCGTCGCAACGCCGAGGACGGAGCCATCGGAATTGTAGACCAACTCGCTAGCGGCAAAGCCAGGGTAGATCTCAACTCCCAATTCCTCAGCTCGCTCACCCAACCACTTCGTCAGCTCGTTTAGACTGACAATGTAGTTGCCATGATTGTTCATTTGAGGCGGTGCGGGAATCGGGAACGACGAGTTCTTGGTCAAAAAGCGCATCTTGTCCTCCCGCGCCGGTGTTGCGCCCTCAAATCGGGATGCATTCTCCTCGGACAACCAACCAGGCAGAAGCTCATTCATTGCAGTTGGTTGGAGAACATTGCCTGAAAGTATATGTGCGCCCAGCTCTCCCGCTTTCTCCAGCAAAATCACACGGAACTCCTCGTTTCCAGCCTCGTTTGCGAGTTGCTTTAGTCGAATAGCTGCGGCGAGACCGGCAGGACCTGCGATGGTGAAGAGATTGAGTCAGCCATCAAACCGCTGAGTAGCCACGAATAGCTGGCAAACACGAAAGCTCTTACCGCCGCCAACAATGCACACGTCCACCTCATCCGACTCCCTTTCTACTTGACGGGGATCGAACTGATCATGCTCATCTGCAAGCCTTGTCGATAGCGACTGCGAAAATGCCCGAGGTTGACCGAGTAGTTGTCTCTGAGAGAAAAGCGCGGTGTGGCGGGCCGAATGCCTAGCGGACACTGCTCTCCTGTTCCGAACAGTCGTAGCAACAGTCGAGAAGGATGAAGCGGCTCTATTCAGTTGCGTGCGATTTGTTTGCAACTCGCGCCTCAAGAGAGGCAAGACGGCTCCTTTTGAAGCCATTGCGATATCGGAGAAAATTGCAACAGGGGATTCGAACTGCCACTTTCAGTACCTCTGAAGTCTACAGACAATGAGCAGACATGGCAGTTTAGCCTTTCCAAGAAGAAAAACTTCGAGAAGATATTAATCACAGAAGATGCCCTGTGGACAACCCGAGTATGACTTAAAGGCTATGGTGGGACTTTCGTGGGATGGCCGAATTTGGCGGTGGACAGTCAAGTTGGCAGTACCCGAGGTAAGCTCAGCCAATGGGAATTTCGGTGATCGGAATCATCCTCATCCTACCTCGTCTTTCCGCTGGTAAACTGTTCATTCCGTCGGAAGCCGAATTCAACAGTGGACATGAACACTACGTAGGTGAAGGGCTTCGTTTGCTCAGGCAGTATGAAACTGATGGGTTGAAGATGGTTCATGACGTGCGTCCCTCTCTACAGAAGCAAATTACCTAACTCGCTTCTTAGTGCCGGTTCCTAGGCCACACGAGGCTCTGCGATGGAATCACATGAAAGACGCGTGAGGCTGAACATTGTCCGAATGACAAGCATCTGACCGTTTACCTTTCGGGAGGGGAAGGTATGTACAGACTACCTTACTCCGTGCTATCCACCGGTATCATGTAAGGTTCTACACGTGGCTGAAGAGAAGATTCGGATAATGTAGATGAGAAATAGAACAGGATAGGCCCAGATGATACCTTCTCACTCCGCACTTGAGATGTTGATTATGACGGTAGAAATATGGGGTCGCCGACCGTATAACATCACAGCCTAAGTTCATTTACCCCGTATATACGCCAGTCAGACCAGCCTGTATACTGAGACGATATGCTGGATGATTCAACAACTTCCGTAGCGTCCATATATTATCTACGCTTGATTCGACAGAGGGAAAATAAAGAAATCAGTTGATCTTCAATTACCGAGTTTTCCACAGAGACTTGCTCATTAACATGATTTCATCATTAACTCCTACGTATTGATATTAAGTCCGGAGAAGGAGAAGGACGATTGGACAAGGCAGAAGAGCCTTAAATTAGTCAAGTTGGTGGATCATGAATCGTGACTCGTGAGATCTGGGGATACATAGGTCCGCGTCCAGGCTCCAGTCTGGAGGGGAGTATAAACCATGAAACACCTCACGAATCGCCAGGACTTGTCAACTGGCAAGACTCAAGGGTTAGTGATTAGACAGACTCGTCCCTTCTTTCTTTTTACTTTTCGATCCATCTCGGCTCAAACTACAGTAATGGAAAGTATTTTGAAGTCCGATTGTTGGATCAAGCCACCATCATCCGGAGTAGACAGGTCAACAACCTCATAAACAAGGAAGGATAGGTAGGAAATCATGGACGGGACACTCGTACCAAAGTGACGACCGGGCGAAAAGAGAAACTTTTTTTCGATTTGCCATCCGCTAAAGCGGCACGATAGGAGGCGCGTCGCGAAGGAAACCCCCAGAAAGCGATATGCATTTTTATTTGTTGAGAAGGTATGGATGGATGGATGCAGTGGGTCTGGCGAGCAGTTGCAGGAGCGACGCGGACTGGGCAACAGCCAGTGGCTGCAACCATGGAGAAAGGGATGTCTGATGGACAGCCAAACAGAGCGTGTACAGCATGGTGGGGCTCCCAAAGAAAATGTGCTTGATGGGTCTCACATTCAGCCAACCAAAAATGGCAGAATGGCGCTTGCTGGGATGAAGGAGAGAGAAGCCACTCAGCCTCGAGGATTTGTCCACCCAGGAAGGCGCTAGTGGAACGCTAAGTCACAAACAGATGCCCCAAAGCAGTCAAACCCATGGATGGAAACGACCTCCATCGCTGCTTTTGCCGCCACCGCCCGGCCCAGCCTCCCCTGACGCCAGCACTCTCAGGCGCTGTGAGTCAGCCTATATAAAGGCCCAACCTCCCACTTTCCTGTTGCTCTTGGAATTTTGACCCTGGTCTTGGCACCGCCCGGAACGCCGAAACTAATCTTCCAGTCGCCTTCTTCCCGACGACCAACCTCTCCTCCACCCCCTCTCTCTCCTCACTCGTATAGAGTCGCAGAGTTCCGCTATTTTCAGCATAGTATTCTCTGCTTCTTTGGCCTGAAGGATTCCGGGAAGAAGTCTAATAAGACGGCTCAGAAGAAAGAAAAATTCTTCCGCGCAGTTTCAGTATTTTCGCTGAAACACGAAGCTTGCAGCCTCAGGTGTGCATCTTCGCCACTCTCTTTCAAGAACGCAGATAGACATCTCCAATACCCAAAAGGGAAAAAACCAAAACCAAGAAAAAAAGTTGTTTGCTTGACCTGAAGAAAAAGCTTTACTCTTTCACGTGCTTCTGTCACTGTCCATTCTCTCACTTGCACTTGTTTTGTGCTACTGCATAAGTGTGACTAGGAAACACTTGATTGTGCTTTTCTAGTATCTTATCATCTCTCTGTGGTGTTGAGCTTTTCTCTGGTTGGTTTTGCCTCTTGTCATCTCCACCAGACCTGTCTTGCTGCTGTTAGTCTATCGACTCCTCACTTCGAGCTTGAGTTGAGCTAAGGCAGCATTGCTGTAGGGGAGACATTGAGTTGTTCATCTCCCACAAAGGGTGAGGCTTGCTTCTTTTTTTTCTTCCGCGCCTACAAAAATATTCACAGTTGCAACACATCGTCACCCAACATTCCGTCATCTTCTTCGCCACCTCGTTTCTCATCTATCTTCTCCCACCTCCCTCACCCCTCTGTCCTATTGTGACATGAATTATCGTGATCATCAATCTCTTTGGCTTTTGACTGACTCGGTCTTCTGAGAGGATAGACTGCCGTCTACACAAGCTCTTTGGCTCGCGACTTTACCTCGCATATCTACTTCAGTTTCGGCTGGTCTACAGCTCGAGTATTTCTCTTGCTCACGTCGCAATGGAATCTCTCACGACCCATCCTTCTACCGCGCAGCAGGCCCGGGCCTTCACTTCCCCCGCTTCTCTGTCCTTTCCCGGTGGTGCCGGTGATTTGACACCTCCGTCTTCTGAAAAAGAAGGAAACTTGGCGATTGGCGCTCAGGGTGCGAATGGAACTGTGAACGGCCATCAGCAGGGAGGAAATGCCGTCAACGGCAATGGGGTGACGCCCGCTACTCCCGCTGCGACACCTGGTGCCAATGCTCCGGGAAGTGGTATCGTGCCTACCTTGCAGTGAGTATACTCTTGCTGTTTTTCTGGATTACCAGAATGCTGAACAAGGATTCTCTTCAAGAAACATCGTTGCTACTGTCAACCTTGACTGCCGCTTGGATCTCAAGACTATCGCGCTTCATGCGCGAAATGCAGAGTACAACCCAAAGGTATTAACTTCCACACCTCCCTGAGTTGGTCATATCAGGGTACAGTGTGGGCTGAACTGCTTTAATAATAGCGTTTTGCGGCCGTGATCATGCGTATCCGGGAACCGAAAACTACCGCACTGATCTTCGCCTCCGGCAAGATGGTCGTCACTGGTGCGAAGTCTGAAGACGATTCCAAGCTCGCATCCAGAAAGTACGCGCGTATCATCCAGAAACTGGGCTTCAATGCCAAGTTCACCGATTTCAAGATCCAGAACATCGTCGGCTCTTGTGACATCAAGTTCCCTATTCGCCTGGAGGGTCTGGCTAGTCGCCATCACAACTTCAGTTCTTACGAACCTGAGCTTTTCCCTGGTCTCATATATCGTATGATGAAGCCCAAGATCGTCCTCTTGATTTTCGTCAGTGGAAAGATTGTTTTGACCGGCGCCAAAGTCCGTGAAGAGATCTATCAGGCGTTCGAACTGATCTATCCTGTGCTTTCCGGTATGGTTATTCCTTTTCTGTTTAAAGCAGAACTATATGCTAACTATTTGATCAGATTTCCGCAAGGTCTAAGAGGCACCCCGCGGCATATCGGTCAGCATATGAAGATCACCCACTCCATATCCTTCACACATTCCCACCTGTATTAACACTTCTTTTTTTTTTTCCCTTTTGAGAGGTTCATAGGGATTGGGTGGTCTTTTCAGTCACTTTTGCTGAGACCTCGCTTATGATGATTTTCATGCTAGCATTTGTACGGCGTTCTAGCGATTCGGACCGTTCTGCCCCATGGTCGTTGTTCCCTGTTTCACCAAATATTTCAAATGTTTACAATTAGATAGTAGCACAATCCGCGGACTCAGGGGGCGGTACTGTGCGCTGGTCGAATGGTTGCCTCCTCTCTAATATCTGGCCGTGTTCTTCGCCTATTGGCTTGAACTCTCCCTGGCTTTGTCCAGTATGAGGTTGCTCTTTGTTTTATGAGCTCGTGGGATATGGACGAAAAGAAAATGATGCTGCACTTGATTAGACTTACAACATTCTTAGGAATGAAATGAAGAGGTAGTCGATACTTCGCTTCCAAAATAATATAGAAACCTGTAAAAATTTATAATAATTATAGTCATGAGTCTTGAAGGCCCATAGAGATATGTTTCTCCAATGGCCTTACTATGTAGGTAGTATCAGGGAATGCCCGATGCCATCCTTTCGTTACCCTCTCATATTACTGCTTCGTGAACAGAGATCTGTCAGGACGACCGATAATAATCTACTGGTTTATTCTTATATAGACGGTGGTATACCTTATGTACAGGACGAAAGAGCTGTCATAAAACGCTCTTCCGCTGAGCTTTCGTACTTTTGGCCAACTCCTTCATCAGGAGAAGCCCCTGCTCCCCGGATCTGCTCCCGTCGCCTTCGAAAGCGCTCTGGTCGACCTTGATCGGCCACTTCCAGAGATTGCGCAGCTCAGGCTCGAGCTTTCCTTCGATCGCGTCAACGACTTTGTCACCCAGAACAGGGAAGAACTTATATGCGTGACCGCTGCCGCCTGTGGCGAGGAACAAGCCTGCGTAGTCGGGGTGGTAGTCGACGATGAAGTCGCCAGTGGGTCTGGGGTACAGTGTCCTCGTGTTAGCCGCCACATTATTTTGGAGAGGGTAAAGAAAGCGGTTCCTTACGTGTCGGTGTACCAGCACACGCGGGTTGTGACGAACTCACGCTCCGCGAAGTTGGGAAGTAGCTCCTTGAGGGCTGTTCTGAAGGCTTCCTGGCCCTCCAGAGGGACGGGGACGCCGTTCTCCGGCAGACTGACTTGCATTGTGACGCCGTTGCCGCCGGGGATGGGGACGGCCTTGGGGTTCTGGTAGCCGTATGCGTGGCGGGCGATCTTGAGGAGGTTATTTCGAGGCGGGATTATGAAGATGCCGTTGGCGAAGTTGAGGACGGTGGGGATGTTCTCTAGTCGGCGCTGCTCTTCGTCTGAGATGCGCATGTATGCCAGTGCTTGGCCGGTTGAGATGGCCCTGCCGCGGAGGTCGACAAGCTTACCTGTCCAGGCGCCTGTCGCGAGGACGACAAGATCGGCCGTGAGTGTCGTGCCATCCGTCAAGACAACACCGGTGACTCTGCGGTGGGAGGTGGCGCTCTGGCTATCGGCAAGCAGGAGCCTGTCGACCTCCCCGGTTTTGAAACCCACCTTTCCCTGCTCGTCCAGTAGCTTCTTCGCAAATCGCACGCCTGCTGCGGCGTCTGCCCAGCCCGAGCCCCAGTTGATGTATCCCCCCGCTACATTCAGCTCCTTGCCATATTGTGGCACGATCCGCGTCACATCAGCTGCCGAGGGGAGTAGTTCGACCTTGTCGCCCTCCAACTGCTTGACATTGTGGTAGCTCTTGGTCGCATAGTTCTTCGCCTTCTCATTGCCAGGCGTCCAGACGAGCATCAGTCCGTTCTGCGTGTAACGACCTTCCTTTCCCCATTCGGTGTTGCGCCAGCGGTCAATGGCGGCAGCAGCGAGTTTCGCGTAGATGGGGTGTGAATAATCGGCGCGGACGATCCGCGAACTGTCGACGGAGGAGCCGTGCGGGTTAGGAATCGTAGGGGATTGTTCCAGCAGGGTTATTTGACAGTCTTGGTGTCTTTGCGACAATGATAGGGCGGTCGACACTATATGCGATCAGTTCCCGATGTGTCAAAAGATGTAGGAGTGGTCGCGGAATGCAATTAACGAAGATTATATAGCAGTCACACAAATCAAAACAGGAATTATGAGTATGTAATCGATTCCTTCGCAATAAACAGGGGATATCATCCCATCTCCTATTTTGAGGTAACAATTTCAATACCCCGAGGAAATTGAAGGACTCACAGCCGAATACACCTCCACCGACGATAAGGATCTTCTGAGGGAGCGCCATGTCTTCCTCAAAATGACGTCTTCGCTGCAGTGTCTACTCTAACCCAATTGACGGACAAATTGCAGAAGTTCGTGACAAACCCAGAGGGGAAGAAATACGCAGCCGGAGGAGAGAATCACCCCTCTTATTGGGATGCGGAGAACTCCATAACTAGCACCAGATAAGACCCGGCCCGGCTCCGACGGTCGGATGGTCACTTTTTGAAACCTCACGCCCTGCCGTTCTTGGCCTGACCAGTCAGTTGTCAACAGAGATAGACTCCGGATCATACCACCATCAATTTCGATTGGAGGTGATTGCGCTTTGTCTATATGTTTCACTCTTAACGGTCATGCAATATTTGAGCTTCGATGGATAGAGCACCGCAGAGGAATGGAATCAAATCACTGCCCTGATACCTCGAAAACTCGTTGAGGCCTATCAACTTTGGCGAGAGAATCCGGCAGACCTAGTCCGGTAGAGCTATTATCACTCGCAATCATGAGTGCATCCCGAGCAGGCCGAGCAGCCTTGAAGAAGGCTAAAGTGCCTGTGTCCGTTCCCAAGATCCCGGCTGTAGAAAGACCAAGGTCAGTACGATGTAGAATGGGATTTCATCCTTATTCTCTGTCATCATCTCATGTCTCCTGTTTCCTGAATCCAGTCTTCTGACTCAAGTAGCTCCAACCGTCCGGCAGCTCCTGTGCTGCCGAAGCGGGCCAACCCTCATTTGTTGAATCTCAAGCCGGAGCCTGAGACCCCTCGACTGTCTCCCCGAGCCATGACTGTCCTGGGTGTTACGGCGCTCACCATTAGCACCTACTGCGGCTATCTCTACGCTTCCTACAGGCGGGAGGTAACTGAGGTGCAGTCGCTTGATGTTCCCCAGGATGTATCAGACCGGTACAACCGCACCGCACCCAACTTTGACGCTGAAGTCGAAATGTCAGAGAAGGTGATGCGTATGGGCAAGAAACGACAAGACCTTGTCCGGAGGGCGCGCGGGGATGTGTTGGAGGTGAGCTGCGGTACAGGTCGTAACCTGGAGTACTACGATCTGGGGGAAAGACGCGGTTTTGATGAAGATGGAAAAGCAGTGGTCCGAGGCTGTCGCTCCGTCACCTTTGTCGATCTCAGCCCGCAAATGATAGAAGTCGCGCGCAGCAAGTTCGAGAAACTCCATCCGAACTTCAAGAACGTGACATTCCGTGCACAGGATGCAAAGGACGTCGTTCCCCCATCGGTGGGAGCGAAGCCAGCATACTACGATACCATCGTGCAGACTATGGGATTATGCTCGATGCCGGATCCTGTAGGCACCCTGCGCCATTTGGGATCGATTACAGAACCACACAAGGGGCAGATATTGCTGCTCGAGCATGGTCGGTCATACTACGACTGGCTAAACAAAATCTTGGACAATCTGGCTCCCGCGCACGCGGACCGGCATGGGTGCTGGTGGAACCGGGATATTGGCGACATTGTTCAGCAAAGTGGGTTGGAAATCGTGGAGGAGAAACGGTGGCACTTTGGGACAACCTGGAAGTATGTCCTGAGGCCGGTACGTGAACGTCAAGATGCTAAACAATGACGATCGGGATGCATTGGCATAGTTAGCATAACATTGTATATTTAGATAGACTTGAGTCTGTACGATCTGTAACTATATGAAAGACAAGTAATGGCGCATGACATGGCTCCGGAGTCGATCACTGCATCAATATCCGGTCAAACATCTGTTGATATACTAGACTTCTTTGATAAACAGTTTATAGTACTAATTGGCTATTCGAACGAGTTACGAAATCTAAATCGTAACATACCTTGACATGATAAGATGGAGCAAAAGGCTGTAGACTGAGTTCCCAGCCCCTCACACTATATATGAATCATGACGTCTTCCTTTCGTTTCGGAGGAGCTCATCCTGGTGTTTGACCACGTACACCACCGCCGATCAACTTAACAAAACTAAGTAGAACTTCTGCGGTGAAGTCTCTCGACGGTCTTGGAGTTACGGAGTAGTTTGCCCTCTTTAGGACGGGAATACTCCAGAATGAGGTCAAGATGGCGTTGCCCAAATGCATCATGTATGCGGGGTACATGGAGTCTTGGTGAAAGTATATATCTTGTTTAGCGAGCTCAGAGGGGACCCATTTGGATTCTGGATTGGGGTCGATGGGCAGGATTCTAGGCGCCTGCTCCAATGATAGAGCTGTTATTTGGTTAATAGGATGGTTATGCGCTCATATTTGAGACATTGGTTTTATTGGGATGTGTCATGGTGATCCTGAGGGATGTCTTGACAGGTCAATCATTTCCGAGAGAGGAACCACAGTAGGAGATAAGTACTCCATAACATGTTGATAGCACTAGGTAAGCGAGAAGTTTGTTCTATTCGTGGACCTGTCGTTCCACATGCATGGAGTTGTTGACATAGACGCTGTTTGATATGACCTTGATAGAGGGTGTGTACCCCCTCTATCCCTCTTCCTACAGCGCGGATCATGGGGTAGATACGCCATACATGCGTCAATAAACAATGCAATACCGATGCAAATGATGTATTTTAGTAAGTAGATGGTAGATACCCATACAGCGAAGTCTAATATGTGTGGTTAAGCAAGGACGATGTACGTTAACAGTCTGCGCTGTAGATTAAGCATAGCTGCATGGGAAACACCTCCCAGCGAGATAGAGATAGTACACTAGAGTATCTTGATCGCAATGTGGCTGTCTCCATTGATTACCCCTAAAGCGACGAAAGATTTCAGATAAGCATAATCATAAATCTCCTTTTGTCACATCAGCGAGATACTCAAGTTCGTGAGGCTCTAAGCATAGAATAGGAGGTGTGATGTGGTAGCTTGGCAACAAATAACGACAGGGATGCTTGGAATGAGTGTACTAGGTGCTCTGCGCATCCCTTGCCGCCCCGCTGATACATATCACATTGCACCTAGGCATGCATTTGAAACTGGGGTAGTACCGGCCGAAGTGAGCATTCTCCAAGCTCCTTGTTGTTTTGACCTTACGATCAACCGTTACCACAGGAATTTGTCCTATCCATGTTAAGTACGGTCTATCTACGGAGTACCCATCGGTCTGGTGTACAGCAGGCTTGGAGATTAATAACGTACGGAGTAGGAAGGGCGATATCCTCCGACAGCTATACTTTTCGAGCCAACACAACACGAGAGTAACAGGGTCTCAGCATCAAAAAGCAAGGAGCGGACAAGCCACTGGCAACTGGCAACTGGCTATTTGCGACACTCGACAACCCAAATCTGGAAATCTGGAAAGTGTAAAAATCATGACAAGCCTCACTGTGGCCCATCCGATTGGATTCTCTTCCACTCTGCTGCATAGCTCGGAATTTGCTCCATCGCCGACAATTTTATTCGCTATTTGATGTCCAAAACGGCGCCGCTAGGAACGCGTGGTCACATCTTGAATCCACTTTTCTTGATGGGAAGCTCTTTAGAATTCCCCATTCCACTCGTTTGAATTTCTCTTAGATTCCATTTTGTTTCTTGGGTTAGTCCCGAAATCAACATACTACGCGCTAATGCTGGCTCAAACCTTCCTTCCCTTCTCCGTTTCTTTTTTTTCCCTTTTCCCTGTATCGACTTTCTCTATGGACCGTGGACATCGCCTTTTCTAACCTCCGTTTGTCCTTGAAACCACGGATCCAAGCAAGCTATGATGCATTCACTGACTAAAATTCCCATGGAGATTCGCCGCCGTATATGTCATACAAGCTTGTGATTGGGAGCTTCAAAGATATGAGCATAACTCTGTTGAGCAAAAGGTAAACAAGCGACGATCGGAGAATGCTCATCTATCGAGTCGGTCAAGAGGCAAGTCTAACACTACCGTAGTACTCAGCAACTGCCTAATATGTTGGCAAGCCAATGCCTCTCTATAGAGTTAGCCTGTGTGGAAGTGAGCTGGCTCAATAATAGTGGTTAGTATCGGGGCTATGTAGGTAACCGCCATACTTCTTGTTTGTTTTCTATCTATCCAAAAGAAAAAATCTCTGCGCAGCAACCAGGAGCGCTGGACAGTCTTCAGCTGGTCTAGCTGCCAGCGCGGGAGCCTAGAAAGCAATACGTAGTTACCCGATTCGCCTCTTTGCTCGCTCCATAATGGTGCATAACTCCACTCATGGAGCCCATGCAGAACCATAGATGGTCCTAGGCTCCTTTCACCAATCAGATAGCCAGCCATTTTTGCTAGTCGTCATACTCACATGGCTGGCCCCACTGTACTTTTGCCCCTTTGGTCACTTGCCTGTGAATCTGTGATCCATCTTCAGAAATTCAGATAGATACCTTTACAAGAGAGGCATCCAAACACACATACAACTACCGCCAGGCGGTTTTGCCTAGGAACAGCTATGGCGGTGAAGACTTGATGACCATCTAGGCTCTTCTCCTGCTCTAGCTTGTGTCGATACTGTTGGACTAGCGCATCCTAAGGACATATCTAGTAATAATAGAGGATGTAACTATTATGGAGGTACGGAAGAAATGAAGAACAATCCCAAGTTTCGGCCATTTGCTTTTCTTCTTCTTGCTCCGTAGTCGGTACCATACATAAGGTAGGCAAGCATTCCAGGTGGAATAAAATAATGAAAGAAAAGGCCGGCCCATCTTCTGCCAATCCAATCAACGCCACCCTGAAGCACCCGCCCTGAATTTTTTTTTTTCGCCCTTTTTTCCTACTTTTTCTCCCTTCGTAAATTGTTAGAAGAAAATCTTTAGGAAAAAAATACCAAACTCCACTCGGCCTTCACACCCTTTTTCCATCTTGCCCTTTGTATTTTCCCTTTTGGAAACGGTTGTTAATTGTTTCCTCTCATCGCCCCATAACAATCATAATTCTTGGGATCAACTGGCCAACGAGCTGCCCTCTGAATCTTCTTCCCTTCTGCTTGTCTCCCGCCCATCCCGACATCTCATCATCGCCATCACCTCCATCCATCCCATCTAGCTACTCCCTCTCTCCTTTCCTGCCCCTTCCGTGTAAACTGCTTCCCATCTCGTTCTCCATCCTTCTACCTTACTACTATCCTCGCTCGTGTGTTATTATCTGTTATCATCGTTGTTAATCATCTACTCTATATTAACGCTTTATTGTCGTTGATTCAAGTAATATTACTTCGCATCGCTTCCCTTTAATTTCCGAACTGTATTTTGTTTGGTTGTTCGTTACTACTATACCTTACCTGCTTCACTGATTGTTCTTCCCCCCGTATATTACTTTCTCCATCCACAAGTCTATTTTCACACGTTATGCCTTACAATACTCGCCGCAAGTCGTTGTCTCTTCCTTCGCTGGGTATTCATCTTCCCAATTCATCTCGTCGGTCCCCTTCTGCGTCGAAACAGCCGCACGCGACCGACGATCAATTGCCGCCATCCAAAAAAGTAAAGAGGTCGCACGACTCGGTATCATCATCACCAGAGCCTTCGCCATCCTCGAATTCTTCCACAGATGCAAAGAACCAGCAAACAATACGGCCGAACGGAAGGCGCGGAATTTATGAGCATACGCCACCTCCGTCCCCTACGGACGGAACCGCTGCGCCCAAGATCGACACAGAAGGTATCAACGACGACATCGTCGTGGGTGTGATTGAGCAACTAGAGAAGACGGGAAATCGCCCTCACCTTGTTAAGGAGCTCGCAGCCATTCTCGTTACCCTCAACGAGAATGTCGCAAAGTACGCCGTCCCCTGCTCTTCAAACCGTCCTGTGTCTGGAAGCTAACAGTCTCGCTTTTGCATCTAGCTCCGCCAATCCCGCTGCTCTCTTGTCTTCGCGACTAGGCACATACATGAAGCGCCCTTGGACTGCTCTGGCGCCGTGCCCTATTGCAAAGGAATTAATCCCTATACATCCGCGCAAAGTGTATTACTACCTCACGACATTACCGCGTCGGCCTATTCCCGAGAACTCGGATGATGTGATCATTCCAGGTGTGAATGGGAAAGACTTCACGCCCAGCGTTTCCAACGCTGACCTGGATGATGAGGAGATGTTGGCACGGGAACGATCGCTTAGTCCCGAGGTCGACCTGTCCTCGCCTGATTTCGAGGAAGAGAATATGGATCGTAGTGCAGGACGCCCTGGCCACAGTTTCAGTGAACATCACAGCCATGCGCGCCTCATGCATTCGAATCGCGCCGCATCCCCGCCGCTGGAGGGCGACGAGAAGGAGTTCACGCAGACTGCCAGTGCTGTTCGCGAGCGGGCCTCGGGGCAGAAAGCAGCCACGGAGAAATCCTCTGCTCTTTCGGATGCTCTCAGCGAGTTGGAAAACGGAGTCATGAGCATTTCGGAGACCTCAGTCGAAAACAGTCCTCTTTCCTCGATCAACGAGGAGTGCCTGCCGGATCATGAGGACAGCGATTACTTCTCACACGGAAACTACCAGGTCCAACAGCGGTTACAGCAGCAGCTGGAGCTGGAGCAACTTGATGCCGATGATGTGGCTGTGTCGGCCCTCTTCGGTACCTCGCCTTCCCCGTCGCTCGCGTCAGTCGCATCATCGCTCTCGTCAGGGACGAGTGCCGCGTCCGATGATGGTCTGGAAGTTGAGGACCGTGTGACTGTCCTCGCAAGTGCTCCCCAGATCAGCCTTCCCGAAGATCCTAGTGTTCGCTCGGTCTCGACCCTGAAGCGATCTATTGACATGTTAAATAGTGAGCTTCCCGATATTGAGATGAAGATGTCGGAGCTAGCTGAGCAGGAAGACAAGTTGGTGCTGCCTGGGAGAATCCAGGATATGGATATGGACATGGTCTTTGATTCGTGGCGAGAGCTGCAGAATCCGGAGACTGTAGAAGTCGACGAGCTCGACGAGATGTTCGGCGAGTTCTGAACGTCTCGTGAGCACTCCAATCGCCAGTCGCGATAGATTAACCTCTCGCCTGGGTGACTGCGACGGTCCACAATCCATCGTATGCATTGCAGTGCCTATGGCTCTTTGCATGCATCCCACCGATGTTACTGCGTCCGTCGGAACTTGTTTTTATTTCTCCACTCCGCAAAGACGAATCCTCCCTCTACGTTCTCGCACCCTGTGGCTGCGAGGGATATCCTTGTTATAATCTTGTACTCCCGTTATCTGTTTAATGCGCGCCCTGCCTTTCGCGTTTGCTGGGTCTCTGCGCCTTCCCACCTATGTGGCCCATGAGCCGGCTTCATTGTACATATATCTATTGTCTTTTTGGGTTTCCGTTATACGGCGGTTCGAATATTCCCCAGCTGGTCTTGATGTATCTATGTCTTTCCTATGTTCTTTTCATTCCCAATTTGTGGAAGAAAGGTTATTTTGCGCTTCATGCAAAAAGCGCAGAGGAAAGAAGCATTTCTCAAAGAAGAAACGGTTAAAGAAAATGGGAGGAAGCGAGATGCGTTTGATGGTTTGATGCCTCTCCTATGTATGTTATCTAAATGAAACATCATCACATAACCATGTTCATCTCTATCCTCCTCTAAGCTATCGTTGAAGGGAAACAGTATTATATCTCATGATGTCTCATCCCTAGTCTATTACCTATCTCTATCTCTATATATTCTGATCGCAAGGAGGGGGGCGCTTATCTAATCCTGCATCAACATGGTAAAAGAACCAGAGTTTAGAAGCATTTGTGGTTATGGGATCTCTTTTCCATGCTCTCCCTCTTTCTTTGCCTCTCTAATCTCAATCCTGCTCTCGAGGAGGAGGAATAAGTACCTAGCTGTCATCCCCTCTCGCATCTCCCTCTTGTCCTCCGAAAGAGTAAGGCAAATCTTGACTCGGTTCAAAAGATAACTTAAGTGCTGCTTTTTCGATCGTCCGCCGTCTGATTGGCGCCTGTTTCTTCTGCTCCCACGCCACATTTTGTCAGTAATAATATAATACGTAGGCATCCTTCGTCTGTGTTCCCTTTCTGCTGCCGTTCGGATCTCTTTTCCCTTGTCTCAGTTTCCCCCTGGCTCTTTTCGCGAGCTCTTTTCGCCATTATAACATACTCCAAGCACATTCGATTTACGAATGGCAGTGATTTGGCCTGTTTCTTAACCTCCTCGTTTTCATACTGGTCCTGAAACAGGGTCGTCGACTTAGAATTGCTACACAATGCCCATTCTATTGTTGGCCGCTCTAGACTATTGTGGAACAGAGTCTTGATATCAAGAGGCAAACACCTGTAGCCAAGACTTTCCTCGACCAACTCACCTGGTCAAACTTCTCCGGATCTACATCATCCTACTGCTGCACACGAGTTCAATCGTCGCCTCCGGAGAGGGGTGACCAACATGGAAAACGCTCCCTCCAGTATCCCCCAGTCCGGAAGTGCCGCGATGCGGGGCACGATGCCTTTGCATCCACCACCACGACAACTCGATCGCAATGAAAAAGCTGCGATCAACTCAATACCCGCTGTAGCGCCCAAAGACTCATCATACATGCAGCAGATCTCAAACCCCTCGTCGCTAGGTCCCAATCGATCCGGAGCGAATGAAAGTGCAAATGCGAAAGTTGCGATTCCCAGACAGCGCTCGACTGTCGCCCCGCGCTACAGTCGCCGTGTGCCGCGAGCATGTGAAACCTGCCGAGCACGAAAGACGAAATGCAGCGGTGATACTCCTATATGTAGGCAGTGTAAAGAGCTGAGGGTCACGTGTCGATATCCGGTGTCATGGAGGGAGAAGACAAAAGGGTACGTCGTGGGTCTGTCGTGTTGTGTGGGCTTACAACTGATTCGTATTTCTTTTTTTTTTTGCCACGGATGCAGGCAGTTGGATATATTGTCGGTCAAGACTCAAGACTATGAGAATCTCTTGCGAGAGATTGGGAGCTTGGTGGATAGTCGAACTTCGGAGCGTATCAAGAGCACGCTGGACAAAGTAAGAGCCTGCGGCGATTTTCCTTGAGGAGTCTTCACTTGACCGCGCATGCCCCTGCTGATTACCCGACTGTCAATTAGTATAATGGAGAGAACAGCAATAGCCAGGAGAATTCCTCGAATGATCCGCAGTCTTCGGTGACGCCCCAGGAGGAAGATATGGAGCAGGATGAACCGCCATCGTCCCCTTCGTCGATTGGTTCGCTAGATGCGATCGATAGGGTTGAAGAAGATTTGAATCGGAGTGAGAGCTCGAGGGCTACAGGGTACATAGGCAAAAATTCGGAGCTCACCTGGATGCAGAGGGTACGGCGGGAGGCTGAGCAACGCGTTCGGAAACAGTCAGGAGCATCGGACACGAAGCCTGAGGGTGACTTTGCTCTGCATGCCGTGAACTATCACCTAGATGACATGGATATCACCGTCCCGGGCCCCGTACAAGTGTACTGGATGCCACCACGCCATGTGGCGGACCAACTTTTCGAAGACTACTTGACCACAGTCCACCCATTCTTCCCCATCATCAGTCGCACGCTGTTTAGCGCACAGTACAGGACCTTTTTCGAAAGCGCAGCGCGGCCTGGTGACAAATGGCTGGCCATTTTGAACATGATTTTCGCTATTGCGTCCAAGCATGCGCATCTTACACAGGCACCTTGGCGCGGAGACGAACGTGATCATCTTGTGTATCTGACACGCGCTCGCATTCTCAGCATGAATGGTGATACGCTTTTCAATCACCCTGACCTGCAGCAGGTACAGGTTGAAGGCCTTATTGCGTTCTATCTTCTTGCATCGGATCAGATCAACCGGTGAGTACTATAGCACCCAGTTCCAGCTTTCTTGTGGTGACTGACCCTTTCCAGAGCGTGGAGAATTGCGTCTTTGGCTGTTCGATCTGGTATTGCTCTCGGGATCAATATGAAGAACACCAGCGAGACGACGCCCAGTATATCCAAAGAGGCACGTTATAAGGTCTGGTGGTGTCTGTATACGTTCGAGCATATGCTTGGGATCATGACGGGCAGGTCAACATGTATCCTAGATGGTGTCTGTACGACGCCTATGCCCCTGCCCTTCGATGAGGAGCAGCTACGGGAGCCGTTCGCGGCCAAGCTTTTGGCGGATCAAGATATGCGGCAAGCGTATATCGGATCAGCGATCGCAAGTTCGTATGTTCGTCAAATGCCCTTGAATCCACCAGGTGGCAGAGATGCTCAACTCACGGACAAGCCACGGGACGCCCAATGGTTAAAGGGTCAGCCTGCGAGCCGGGCCTTGTGCTATCTATTCTACACCGACCTGGCAGTGATCAGTCAGGAGATTGTCAACAGGGTCTACTCGCTAGATTGTGTCCACACGCCGTGGGCCCATATTGAGAATCGTATTGGGGAGCTTCGAGCGAGAATCGACCGCTGGTATCACACTCTTCCCGAGGTGTTTGACTTTGCCCGCAAGATGGCCGAGGAGGATCAAGAACTGCTCCGTTTGAAACTTTTCCTCGCGTTTCACTTCTACAGTGCTCGGATCACTCTTGGACGACCATGTCTGTGCCGCCGTGACGCAAGTCCGAGAGATCCGAGCAAAAAGCCGACTTTTAGTCATAGCATGGCTGAGGTATCGCTCGAGTCCGCGCTTCGTATGCTCGAATTGCTACCCGACGAGCCCAACGCCATTAAGCTCTATCAGATCTGTCCCTGGTGGTGCATATCGCACTACTTGATGCAGGCCGCGAGTGTCCTTCTACTCGAGTTATCCTTCGGGAACATCCATATGCCTGAGGAGGAGCCGCATTTCTTGGCGGCCGCCAAGAAGGCCGTTCGCTGGCTCTATGCGATGTCCGAGTGCAGCGCCGCATCACGGCGTGCATGGCAGCTGTGTGATAGCAATCTCCGGCGGATCGCTTACGGCATGAATTACGACATCAGCGACGTGCCCGAGTCTGCCTACGAGACGAGACCAGCCCAGCCCCTGAGCATGCAACCCCAGGGCTCCAATCAACAAAACACCAATTTGACATCCACACCCATGTTCTATGATGCCACGGACGACAGTCTCCTAAATCCCACTGCCGCCGGCGGGTCCCAGGAAACCTACCAATACTTCCAGAACCCGCATCCATCTACGGTTTCACATTCTCAAGTGATCCCCAGCCTTGATCTGCTGTCCTCGGCCAGCAGCAATCCTCCCGGAGGCGATGCCTTTTTCCCCTATGACCCGATCAGCGGGGAATTCATCCGATCGTTCTTCCCGGCGGCCGCCGACGAGGAACCATGGACGCATTAATGACACATGTAATGTATTGGCGGTCTACTCTTTCCTTTTCTTAATCAATTACAGTCCGCTAGTTTGTCTTCATGTCCCATTTCAAGTTAATGGTCATCTGACCTAACGAATATTCTCACACTGCTTATTCTTATGCCAAAGCGATTCCTTTCAGTTTCTGCGCACGATTTTCTTCGCTTTGGAGTTCAGCTGCGGCGTTGACTTTGTGGGGGACGCAGCCAAATTGCGGATAGAAGTCATGATTGGGCGAGTATGGGTTGGCACGGGGGACGGGCTGGAGTTTCAGTGATTTCACCTTGGAGTCTAAGCTAGGCTTGTCTTTATGATGCCTTACGATGGATGCGTCATGAGCCATGGGTAGTATGAACAGACTGATACCATGAGGGACTTGATCACGTGTATGGCGTACAGGGTGCAACGGAATAATGTCAGATACATTCCTGGGGATGTAGCCAATTCGAACGAGCAAAAATGACAGTAAACGAGCATTTGTCATTGTATAGGCATATTGATATGTACATGAGAGAAATGGGACCTATGTAGACGCTAAAATCGAATGGCAGATGTGAAAGAAATGATATGTACAATAGATATTACTTGTCGGGAGTGTAGGCGCCCTCTCTTCCCATCTTCTTTCGCTCCTTCTTCTTCTCCCTGTGCATGCGGTACACGAGCCCGCCGAGTTCCCTGTTTATTTCCTTCCATGGCACCCGGAAAGCCTGAAACTGCCGGATACAGAATTCCACGACCTCAACGGCGGGGTTCGAGGCTTGCTCTTCGAGCTGGCCGGGTTGTTGACGGCGGCGAGCCTCGTCGAACTCGGTGTACTCCTTCACCGCCTGCTGCGCGATGATGCGGATGGTGTTGGGGTTAGGCAGGACGGCCTTCTTCTGCGTCTGCGCGAAGTACCGCGGGTCGAAGTGCGGGTCGCCCTTGCGCGGGTCGCGCTCGCGGTGCAGGTACAGGCGGGTGATGCCGCCTTCCTGGAGGCGGGAGAAGGTCGGCGAGCGGACGTCGAGACACCATTGTTCCCAGAGGCGTTTGCCGGCCGCGCTACCCCGTGTGTCTACGACGGCGGAGAGGAGCGCGTGGAAGGCTGTGGCGGGGATATAGGGGTGGTTGCTGCGCGGTGTGGCTTTGTACTTGAGGTGGATCTTTTGGGCGACCTCGCGGAGGGAGCCTGGGACGGTCAAGAAGACGCGGCGAATGCTCTGGATGAGTCTGTCTTGGAAGCTGGTTTTGGAGTGGTGGGATTCGTTGAATTCGCCATTGAGGAGGCGAAGGAGAAGGTCCTTTGCGCGGTCTAGGTCGCTCTGCTGCTTTGTGGAGGGTTGCTCCTTGATAGCGTGGTCCATCCGCACGATTGCTGCGGCCAGCGCCGTGACGTTGCTGTATCCCCATGACTTCAGTCGGTAGTCGCGGACGTACTCCAGCATCATAGTCGCGGAATCCCACTGTCCCATAGCGATCCGGAAGTTCAACAGCGCCCGCATGGTGTTCAAGGAGAGGGGCTGAGAGAGGGACCGCACGACCGAATTACACAGTGCTTCGTTCTTAGTGGCGGCTGCGAATCGGATGATCGACGGCGCGAGGGCTTGGTTCCCGTATGCACTTGGAGGAATGGGAGGACCGTCAATGTCGTTCGAAAAGAACAACCAGTCCCCGAATGCAAACGCCCGCGATGTCGTGACCAAGTCCAGCAATTCAGCTACTGTAACGATCGACAGCTGTGGCATGGACGATTCAAACGGCTTGAAGGACTCCAGGCTGTCAAGGTCAAATGAAGGTAGACCATCAGTATCCGACTGGCCCATTCGCTCAGAGAACTCGCGGATGCGCTGCAACTTGCTGGCGTCCACCACTTCCTGAAGCCACGAGAAGGCATCTAACGCGTCTGTACATAAACGTCGCGAGGCAAAGAATCTTATGTTGTACTCCATAAGGCCTGCAAATGCAGACGTGTGGTCGTACAGCTGTCCCGATGTTAACGATTCCATGTTTTCTTCCATAGGAGAGGTATTGTTACTCCACGGCGGAATAACATGGGGAGTAAATTTGAGCAGTGCCTCGAAAGCTCGAGGATCATTCTCGGCATTGAAGCCTCCAGACTCGATCGCACGGATGACGAACCAGTTCGTTGCTTTTGCCGTCGGTAGCAACTTCGCATCAGCCGCGGACGAGGCAATGGCGGGCTGGAGGCTTGATACATGACGGAGAAGCGCACTTGGCGATAAACCGCGCCAGCCGAGACCCAGATAGACGAGATTGGGTAGGCTATCTAACAGCGCGGCGACGACTTCGGCGCTGATCGTTCGCTCTCCTAGCCCGTGGAAGGGAGCAAGACCGGCGCGTCTCCGTGACGGCCACTGAGGGTCATTGTCTTCGGGACGACGCCAGGACACCTCTGCGTCCACGTTGGTCTTCCAAACAGACCTGGAAGATTCGATGAGAGGCTTCCAGCTCTCAAAGCCCCAAGCTCGAGAATCAGTCTTTGACCTCATTCGTTCTATAAGCCACACTCCTTCTTGAATATACCCATGTTCCACACAAGACCAAAGAATTAGCTCCAGCCAAATCTCATGTCCAAGTTCTCGTATACCCAAATTGAAAGGTAGGTATGGCGACTCCTTGCCCGCAGCAGCAGCCTTTGCGGCAACTTCTGCTTCATGTGCCAACCAAGCCGCATCCGTCAACACGCTCATGATGTGGGTTGACAAAAGGTGCATTCCTGGCGGCCGAAAGTTCACCCGATGGACATTCGGAGGAAGGTATTTGTACACCCGGTCAGACACTGCGCCAGAATGGTGTAGACGAGCAAGGATGCGGAAGACGTAGGACATTGCCAGCTTAGACTCGTTCGGGGATGCATCAGCCGCGTCGAGCACAATCGATCCCAAGCTTTGCCAGACCTCTGCCATGAAGCGTTTAGCGTGTTCATCTGCAAACGGGCGCTCAGTCCACGAGTCGAAGCTGGTCAGTTCCGACGCAGCCGGCGACTTTGTAAGGCGAACGAGCTCCGGGGACTTCTCGGCATGCTGACCGGTAAGCCCATCAAACGAGACACCAGCGCCAGAGCCCCAGTCATGGCTGGATAGAGGACTGCGGGGTATCGAATACTTGTCAAGTGTGTCCGCAGCGTCCAGTAGCCGAGTCAGAAGAACATTCACCGCAGGCCAATTGTTCAACCGAAAGCCCAAGTATGCCAGTAGATCGATGTTGCCTTCGGTCCGAGCGTAGAAGAGCAATTTGGCTAGCTCGATAGTCTGCGCGAGAGTCTCCCGGCCCATGGTTGTTGCGGCGTCGAACTCGACATCTGTCTCGGCGGCTTCCTCGGGGACCTTTCGTAGGGATGGCGGCAGGTAACGTTCTAGTAGAGGAATCCAAGAATCGGGGTCCTCCTGTCTCGATTTTGGCCCCGATACTGGGCTTCTCTTCTTCTCAAATTGCACATAGTCTCGCAGCAGCTGGCGGTCGACCACAGCTGCAGACCTCGCGGAGAACGGGCGACTCCATTGTCGCCTTCCTGTGTAAGTTCCCCGGCCCAGTAGACTAGGTCGAGGCAAAGAGCTGCATGAAAAACCGTACGATGCTGACGGAGGACGGAACGAGGAGAACCTGCGGCCCAGACACGGCAGATGAGCTGGACCCAGGCACTTTTTCATGACACGGCGGAGGACGTTGCAGACGAAGCCTGCGGGAGGGAAATGCAAAACTCGATATGACCGTCCGAGAGACGTCTGCAGCGCATATCTAATCACTTAACCAATACCACATTTCCAAACAACACCGTGAATAAGTCCTGTTGGTCACCCTGTGAGAATGTGGGAGCTGTAGATTTTTTGTAATCTTCAGAGGGATTTGCTTGTCGGCAACGAAAAAGTATCGCCGGTAGCTTTAGTAATCAATCATCAGCCAATCACGGCTCAACTTTTTGTACTATCAGATAAAGCTGTCTATGAAGCATCCGACTATGTTCAATCCGTATCTACATGAGGTACTTTTGCATCTGAGGCATGGAAACGAGCTCCTTTTTATTCGGATGTCTTATGATGGTCGTAGTATCATATTTCATATACTTCAACGAATGAATGATCCAACCCCCGGACCGACAATAGGACTAACAGTCTTGTATAACAAACAAATGACTTCAAGCGGCACAAATCCTTCAACTGTGTTGGCTTCTTCTCTATAGCTTTACAAGCGCTTAAACATCCTGGGTCGGAAGTCTCCGAATTCCTCCGCAGGCGGCTCTCGGTGATCGTGGCCCCACCCATGACCATCACCGTGAGGTCCTCCATGCGGAGGCCTTCCACTCGGTGTGCAGCTCGCGCTCGGATGATGGCTGAACGTGGAAGAGCGCCAAGGAAAAGCTCCTGTGGGCTTGGGGCCTCTCGACGGGCATGGAATCGTGGACGGCGTCACCGATGGTGTGCCTGATGGAATGCAAGAACTTGAAGACGGTGTCCCCGAAGGCTGAGTGGCCGCTCTGTCAGTTGGAAGTCAGGCTGGAGGATTGTTCACACCTTGACTTACCGTATGGGAGGAAGAAACGGGTGTAGAAGGCCTTCCGGGCACACGAGCTAGAGCTGGGTTGACACAGAGAGCCATGACGGCGCTGAGAACGATTGTGGAAGCTTTCATGGTGGCTCAGTAGCACAAGCTATACTTTTCGCTTAACGTATATTGACAGATAGGATGGTTTGGGCGCGATCCTCCTGTGCACAGCAAGGACTGCTTGGACCTTTCAAATTGGACTTTGTTGGGTCTCCAGTGGTATATATACGTTAGAACTGCCTCCGCTTCCTCATGTCCTCATGTCCTCATGTCCTCATTTAGCAATTGACACCCATGAAGTTCATCGCCATTCTGTTACTCGAAACGGTGATAGCATTATCTCCAATCACTGGGGGCCGAGAGGGTCAAAGGCAGGTCCAACAGCCGTGCAGCAGGTTTATTTAGAAACTCGCGGGACCAACCCGACTTAGCAAAGATACGAGCCGATCCTGAATGTAGTGTTATGTCTAAATAGGATGCCAATTGGTCTTTCATCCCAAATGGCAAGGGCTAATACGGAGGCTGTACGCAACACTTCGGATGAGCACAGCCATCGGCCCCAACGCTTCAATGAGACATGCCGATCACTCTGAAGGCAGATGTTATACGAGGAACATTACCGCACTCAATGAGAAGCGGGCATAATGACTCGCTGCTGTTGGGTTGACGAATACCCAGCCAGCTGCAAGCCCTACCTGGCCCCATGAGGAGATTGTTGGTTGCTTGCTGTGTAATCTATACGAGACTGGGAATAACAGATTCCCAACCCGGCCACATCCTGCTTGTGGCAATCCCCGGCCAGCTTGACGAATGACCCGATCAAGTTGTCTTGTTGTGTGAGAGGAATACGGCTCAATCTCGTAAGCTTGCGCGTCCCCTTCCTGTCAATCATTGCTGGAGAGAAGCGAATCGGCAAAAGGACAGAAATTAACAGGACATTGAGCAGAAGAGAGGGATCTCCTCTCCATGGACGAGATTTTGACCATGCGCTCGCAGGTTGGCTATCAAGGATGACCAGCCCAAGCTTACTAGTAGTCGAAACCTGGTGGCAATCGCAAATAACCCTCGAAGCGAAGGACTCCTCGCACTGGGGCAAAGGAGCACTTGATGATCGGCCTAAGTATGTCCATTGTCTAGGCACACACAGGAGTCACAAACTGATCAGGAAGAAAAAGAACTTGAGACAGTATATACATCTTCGCCTAGTGATACGACAACAGAGCGGAAATCTGAACAATTTAGGTAGAAAGAGGTATCAATCATCAATATCAAGAGCATCCGGACAATTCAGATATAAAGAGCATGTCAACCCCCCAAGAACCCTTACCTGTCCAACAACGCCATAAACGGAAATTGGACGACCCTGAGAATATTTTTTGCGGTGATCATCCTCGCATTGGAAGTGGAAAAGTAATGGCGCTACCAACAAAACAAAACATAGGATAGATTTCCGCATGAACAATCGTCAATCATGACCATAGCAAATCGTCAGCGGTTTTCTCGATTCAGATTTTCTCAAATCTGGCCAGTGACTTCCTCTGTCGCAGGCAAGTCACCTCCAAGCTCCTGCTCCACCTCATCGACGACGAAGCTTTCATAGTCTTCTAGACCCTTCTGAACGTGCACCTTGAATCGAATCACGTCGTTCAACATGCTTTCCACATTGGTATGAAGTTCCTCTCGTAACGCATTAGCCCGAAGTGTGAGCTGTTCGTACTCGATGTTGGTGTTCATTTCCCGCTGTTCCATCAACTGCACGCTTTCGCTCAAAGTTGCTCGCATCTTGGCCAATTCCTTTTCCATCTTCTCTATTTGGGCGTCTGACGCAAGCTTCTGAGTGGTAGTAATCTCCTTCAATCGCTCAAACTCCTCCTCCGCAGCCCGCCGCTTATGCTCCAGAGCTTCGACCTCGCTCCGCTTCTCATCCATGGCTTCCTTGATGTTGTCTAGCAAATTGCGACGCTCCAAGTCATCATCAATCGCACGTTTGCGGCGCTCATTGATCTCCTTCCGAAGAGCCTGCAAGCTACTGCGCACCATACCCCGAAGATCCAAGTTGAGTAGATGCGCCGGGTGATAGCCGGTAAAAGGCTCAGCTAGCAGCCGGTCTGCCTCGGAAGAAATCCTGTTCGGTAGACCGCCAATCTGCGACGCAGAGAAGCTATTATCATTGATGTTCAGACTGAGTTCGTAATCCTGACCCTTCGCATTGACGGCAGTGGAAGGAATCAGACTAGTCTGATAGCCGAGTGTGTTGTAGACTTTAACGATTTCCTCCAGATCCTCAAGTTTCCTACTAGCCTCGGCTTCCTTTTCCATGACCCTTGCATGCGTCTCTTCTAGCCGGGCAGTAGTATCTTCGAGACTTTTCTGCAGTCGATCCCGCTCAGTATTCATGCGATCGATATCCTGAATAGTAATCCCTTGTTGATCGACGCTGGACTGGAGGCTGGATCGCTCCTCTTCGGCTGCCTGAAGCTCCACCTCAACCTTCTGAATCTCCTCCTCCAAGAACTTGATGCGATTTTCGTACTTCTCGATCTTGCCCTGAACATTTTGGTTGTAGTCCTCAAACTTCCGCTTATCGTCCTCCAAAATTCTGAAATGCTTATCCAATTTAGCCATGTCGGGGGCGTTCTTCTCCAACTCTTCAATCTGATCGCGTAGTGCCCGGTTCTCTGCTTCCAAAACTTGCATTTCCTGCACGTACTTCTCGTTCCCCCTCTCAAACTCCTGAGCCATCGATTCGATATGGGGCACAAGTCGTTTCTCAGCGGTCTCATCATCCTCGTCTTCGCCACCCTGCAGCCAGTCGTGGTACGCCCCGGTCAAAAAGCGGAAAATGATGCGGTCCCCGGACACGTCCACACCCATCTCCGCGCAGGCCTCATCGTACTCCCCAAGCACGAACCGATCCATCATCTGCGCTAATTGCATCAACCAATGCAGCATACCTAGGAAAGTGGGCCAATTCTGGCCTCCTACTGCAGCGATTTGCGATTTGGTGATACCCTTCTCGAACGGGTAGCGCAGTTGCTTCAAAATCGGGGGGACTTCTGCATCCATGCTCTTCTGAAACCGATACCCTGGGTCGATTCGATGATACAGAAACTGAAAGATGTAGTTGAAGTCCTTCTGGGTTGGCGATCGAAGCGTGTTCTGACCCAGCGAATGTTTCATCTCCAGCTCAAAATTATTGTGCGTAAGGTATTCGAGGAGCTCCTGTCCAATTCTAGCCTGGAATGATCTATCCCTAAGAGGTCGTGGATCCCGAGGAACACCGGCGGCATTGGGCACTTGGGTGAAGAAGGACTGGTGTCCCATTGGCCCTCCCATGGATGGTCGCGAAAAGACGCTGCTTCTCCTTTGTAGACTCTGCGATGCAGAGCTAGCCGATAGTGAGCCCGGCGCATAGCTTGGGCGACCAACACTGGCGCCGTGGAAGATGTTGCTGGATACGGATCGCCTGACCGATGAAAGTCCAGCATCGGCACCAAACGCCCCGCCGGATGAAGAGCGCTGGAAATTCGGTTGTTGAGGGCGACTTGCAGAGTTTAGTAGTGACATCGAACGCGTGTGTTGTGAGGTAAAGGGAGGATTCTGATACCCAATGGAGCTGGTGCGCTTTAGGGCCGATGAGGGTTGCGGTAGGGCCGAATAGTTTTGTACGCTCCCCAAAGTCTGTATCAAGAAATATGTTAGTTAGTCGCAGTCCGTCAGAGCGCATTGAATCATACGATGTATCAAGGGCATCGCGGAACAGGCATGGCTGCACATACTTCTCGGGGCGCCTGATACTGAACAATCCCGTATCCTGCGACATTATGAAGGAAGCCGCGACTGCGGCAATGAACTCCTGATTAAAGCAAACGTTCGGATGAGAAATGTCCCCAAGTGGCTGAGGGTCCAAGAATACGAAAAAGCCAACTAATATAAGTTGCGGACGCAGCGAAATATCACACAGTCGACTGCCCCTCACACAAAAAGATAAGGACGGGGATTTGAAGCGTTGCCCAAGAAGTCCAAACAGCGACCGAAAGATGTAAACAAGCACATGCCACTTATGTCGCTCAATACAGCAGGCGGTGAGATCTACCGGAACAACAGTTCTTCCTGCGGCGACAATCACGAGATCTGGGGAAACTCCGCCTGGTGGTTGTATCATTGGCCGTAATACCGTAAGCAGCGCAAGTTCCGAGGTCCAGCTGAACAGTGGAGGCCTCGTCCGGTGCCGACGAGCATCTGTCGCCGTGATCATTTCCCATATCCGTCTTCTCTTCTCCAATTCTTCAACCGACTACTCTTCCCGGCCACTCTACCCTTTGAAATAATTTAAACACGGCTATCTTGATTGAAGCCGGTGTTTAGAATATCATCATGGCTCCTCGCATGGAGCTTATCTCCTCTGCTGTATGTACCATGCCCGAGTGACTATTGCTGAAATCGGAGTCGGAGCTGACGGTTGTTCTTGAATAGGTTTCCTGTGCGTGTGTTCTACCTTGAAGCCATTCAAATTTGAATCTGGACGCGAAACCTAACACCTAAACAGTTCTACAGGATCCTTCTGTGGCTTCATCGCCCATTGAGAAGAGAGTCGCATTCCTTCAATCGAAAAACCTTACACAGGAAGAGATCGATCTCGCTTTATCCCGCGCCGGTGAAGACCCGTCCGCTGCTGCTTCTGCTGTCGCCTCAACGCAAGGCTATCAACCTCCTACTCAAAACGCTGTCTACCGTCCTCCCCCTCCACCATCAGGGTATGGCTACCCTCCTTATGGCCAATGGCAGGCCCCTCCGGAGTAAGTGCATTACCATCAGCCCATGGTATTCGGATATAGAACTTGAAACCTAATCTGTGAATTGGTAGACCTCCCAAGAGGGACTGGCGGGATTGGTTTATCATGGCTACAGTAGTCGGAGGTGTGGGATATGGGTTATACACCGTCACAAAGGTTAGTACATCGCTGCCGCAGTCCGCTCGACCTTTCTTCTTCTGCGATAGTAGTAACAAATGGCTTCAAGCGGTACATTGCGCCATTAATCGCCCCTCCTACACCACCCCAATTGGAACAAGACAAGGAGCACATTGATGAGCAGTTTTCTCGCGCTTTTGCTCTAATCGAGCAACTTTCCACAGATACTGCGGCATTGAAATCAGCTGAAGAGGCGCGCGCAGAGCGATTGGACACAGCGCTTCGGGAAGTTGAAACCTTGGTGGCCGATCTGAAGACCGCTTCTCGCCGACGGGATGACGAAACCCGCCGCATCAGCGACGAGGTTAAATCATTGAAGGACGCCATCCCCAAGGCTCTTGAGGGCGCTCGGGAAGGAAACGAAACCCGGTTGAAGGAGCTTGGCACTGAACTGAAGAGCTTGAAGACTTTGCTTGGTAACAGACTCAGTGGCAGCGGCGCATCCACCGCCCCTGTTGCCGGAAGAACTATCAGCGCATCAACACTGCCCAGCGTTGCTCGGCCCACGGAGGAGGCGTCGCCGGTCACCACTCCTGCTACCACCAACGGCGTTACAGCAACTCCTACTACACAAGAATCACAGCCCTCCCCAGCACAGCCAGGCGCCGGCACGACCACTGGTGCCGCCGCTAACAGCCCTCTTGCGCAATTTGGCCGAGGCGCCTCCATTCCTGCCTGGCAGATGGCCGCTGCCAACCGGTCGAAGACCACTGCTCAGTCGACGACAGCTGCCGGAGACAGCTCTTCTGACAATAAGGAGCAACAGAGCGCTCCGGCCAGTTGATCGATTTTATACCGAGAGTGTGTATGCGCTTACAATATGAATACCCTTTCATTTATCCTTGTATATGGTAATAAGAGCCACTGCCCTCTATTTCTTGAATGTATTTACAATAAGAGTACTGGATTCTCAGGGAGTATCACGTGCTTCTTAGTATCAATGGGGGAAAGGAAGGGTAACAATATTTGCATGTCTTCTTGCTTGTATTCCGAAAATTCCAAGAACCGACCTTTAAGCGTTGAAAGGATAGAAGGGTCCTAAAAGAAAAATGGGTACCTCTCGTAGATAAGAAGCATTGGCGATATTTATGGCTCTGACCTCATACTCGTGAAATCATGTCCTCTTGCCCCAGAAAAGCTTGGCATGTGATCCGCAGCTTCTGGCCGCTTCTCTCCCAATTGTCGCCCGAAATTCATATAGATTGGTTGTCGCTTTCTTTTGCAATCGTCAAAGGGGATCGATCACCACCTAAGAGGATCCACGCAATGTCTACCCGCGATCATCACCATAGGGAAAGATCCCACCGAGATCACGATTCGCGCTCGCGCTCCCGCTCCCCAGGCCGAAGTGACAGACACAAAAGACATCATCACCATCGGCACCGTCATAGTCATCACCGTCACCGAGATCACAGTCATGATCGCCATCCGCATTCGCAATCAGCCTCTTCGGTACCTGTAGTGCTTCCATTCCAAGCACGAGAGCTTTCGGAACGGGATCTGACACATTACGCACCCATGTTCGCCATGTACCTCGATATCCAGAAGGGACTGGTAATGGAAGATTTGAGCGAAGAGGAGACCAAGGGTAGATGGAAGAGTTTTATTCGAAAATGGTAAGGACCCTGTTACCTCCACCGACTACAGATTTTCTGTAATGTTCCGCAAGTGCAATTGTTCGTTTGCGTGGGTCAGCACTCGATGAACTACATCTTGATAGCCGGAAAATAGAATTAGTGATTGACATTATAGGAACCGCGGAGAGCTCGCCGAAGGGTGGTATGACCCTAGCACCCTCGAGAAAGCCCGTCGTAATGCCCCAGAACAAGCCCCAGTATCCGGCCCTGGACGACGTCGTGATTCACCAGATTATGAACAAGGTGGTCGAGGGAAAGATTCCAACACTGGCTCTACGTCGCAGGGGACAGCCCGGCAGGACGAACGAGAATTTGATTCCGAGGACGAGGAAGAGTACGGTCCCATACTTCCTCATCATGAGGTGACAGTTAGGGGTCGAGGTGGCCCGTTAGCTGGACCAGCAATCCCGACAATACAGGACTTGGAGTTACGAAAAGGTGCGTACATCCCGCTACCGTTATCTTTCATGAGGCTAACACTGTGTGTTCGGCAGAGTGCGCAGTAGAGGATGCCATCGCGGCTCGCGAGGACACAAGAAAACAGCATCGTGCAGAGACACATTCCCACAAGTCTGAGATGCGGCAAATAGAGGATGAGATTGCACCGCGCGCGGAGCCAGGAACGCATGAAAGGCGCATGGAGAAGCGTCGAGAAGCGGCCGCTGCAAACCGTGCCTTCGCTGAGTCACGGCGAGGTGGCTCACCCATAGAGGCAGCACCAGATGACGAACTTATGGGCTCCGGCGAGAACGACATGGATGCCATAAAAAAGGCGCAGGCTAGAGAGCAACGAAAAAAGAACGAGCGTGAAATCAGAAGGGAAGAGATACTGCGAGCTCGAGCAGCGGAGCGGGAAGAGCGACTTCAACAATATCGGAAGAAGGAAGAGGAGACCATTGGATGGCTCAAAACATTGGCTAAACAACGGTTTGGCTGAGCTTTTACCAGGATGCTTTTCATGATAGTTGAGCTTATTGGCGCATGTTCCTCGCATGAAGTCATGTTTCTTCATCTTAAGCGTCGAGCGTGCCATGACCCCTCTTTCCAACTTATCAGTCGTGGACTCATGTACGAGACTGTTTCTTTGGAGAAGGCATAGCTGCTGATTAGCTTACATTTGACCGACCATGAGCTAAAGCGATGATCCTCAATAGATGTTGCTGCAATGACCATGCCACTTCTTCAGTCCCTCGTCATTTGAATGCTCATAGAAATGTTCCATCGATGCCTTACTCTTTTGATGGTGAAGGCTCCTTTGACCCATAGTTCTTTCCTGTCTAGGAAAGCGTCACTAGTCATCCTAAAAAGGAAGGCGTCTCTGACTGAGCTACTTTGCGTGTCTTGCTTTCTCGTCCTCACCCATCTATATCAGCTCTCATCCGCTTTCCGGGATCACTTTTTGCTGAAGTACAATCGCTGTCCCACGTTTGCCACATTCAACCTCTCCACCTGCTCCCCAGCCCTTCAGTATGGCCTCCTCGATATATCGCCTCGGAAACCTCAGTCCTCAGGCAGTTGCGGGGATCCTTTGCTCACTACCGTTAGCTGCGGGCATGTTCTACATCCTGTCTGCGAAGACTGGGATCTTCGCCTCGCGTCCTAGAGACTATCTGAACGAGATAAGGTGTAGGCTTCTCTACGTATTCACGGAACTCCTCATGGGGGTGATCATCTTGACCTATGTAAGGCAGTCTCTCGGTTCAGTCAGAGCTCATCAAGTCTCATTACGGAATGCTGACCCTCCAGGCCTGGGAATTATCTTGTGTCTCCCTCGTACCTTTCCTGCGAACAGTAATAACCTGGGTCGAAGGCACTGTAAGGACCTTTGTGTGAATGTATCCCTAGAGATACCCTACCGGACTAACGCGAATTTCTTATCCTAGGTATATCTGTTAGGCTCAGTGATCTTCTGGTATATCTTACTGTTGGTTTTTTTGAAGCCAAGAGGAGTCCTACGCATCCCCCTCGGAGGTTGTTCTCTTCTATATTTAGTCCTGGAGCTGTTTCTGCTTACTTCGTCTGTTTATCCCACGCAAGTAGGGAAAACAATGACCATATTTCTTATATCCATTCGCGCGACTCGTTTTGTCAGCCTTGTGCTGCTTCTCTGTGTCGTCGTTGGATCTTGGACGGTACCCTGCCACTGCGAGTCTGATCCAGAAGTGACTGCTTCACTGATCCCGGATGGCCATGTGTGTCGTGACGCCTTGCATAACAGACAAGGGGAGAGTATAAATTACGGTACAACTACACAAGAAAGCGATCCCTCACAGAATAATCTTCGGTCACGTCATCCTAGAAGGAGACCACCAATGGGAGCAGTTTCGAGCAGACGATTGCAACCACATTCGGCTCTACAAGGTATTGAAGAGGAGGTCCAAGCAGAAGGCACGGACGATATTGTTGGGAATGATCAAGAACAAAGCCTTGGAGATGGAATACCTGCTTTGCGCATTGCCAAGCTGCGTCACAAGCTTACCAATCCCAAAGCCCAGCACGAGAACCAAGGTGAAGTGCAACATATTCAGTTCGTCGACCGTTCTTCAGATATCAGTTTGCATGGCAAGAAATCATTCCGAAGGGGTGAGTGGAAGCCTGACGCACCCGAATTCATTCCTATTGCGCAGCAACGCATCGTCATGCAGCAGCTCGACGGAAACAGGAACCAGCAAGTCGAGCGTCAGCAAGACTTGGGCCTAAACGACATACAACATCAAGGCTTAGACGAAGAACGAGTTCTGCCAAGGACTGTCAACTCGAAGATGGCGAAGAGCGCTGTTCCAAGCTTCCCCATTATCGATGAGAACGAGAGTCCCAAGCCTGCCGCATCCACGAAGCATCCGTCCCGTGAAGCTGAGGGCCGCAGTAGTCAATCCACGACTGGATCACAGCAAGAAAGCGACAGGGTCATTATCGCATACCCGAAGAAAGCACGAAAGAGAGGGAAAAGGTCGAGGAAGGAGGCCATTAGTCGTAGAAAGGGCACGAAAAGTGAGCCTGCAGGCATCGGCTTGACCAGTGATATCGATCACTCCTGACACCAGGGACACTCGCCATGGTTGAAGTTTTGATTCTATGCTATTAATACCCGATCCATGTGCTTCTGGTCGAGTGCGGACAGAGCGGCAGACTTTACCAAAGACGGAAGCAAGAAAAGATACGGCTAACTTTTGACCGGGATATATAGACTACAAATAACTTTAATCAAGGACGCCTCTTTAGAATTTATTCCCTCTATAAAGCTCCGTGATCGTGTCCAAATGGATCAATGATAATATATAATCAGATCTAGATGAAGACGATCCTCGTATGTACCGAGGCCCCATGCTTTCGGGGTAGCTGGCCTGCTTTTTAAGCTTTTCTGCCCAGTTCGAGATCGGCAACCAATCTCAAGTCACTTGTTCCTTTTACTGATGAATCACCCATACCGAAGAAAGGTTTGACGGCAACCGCAACAGTTTCCTCAAAGAGGCGTCCAACAACGAGGTCCTTCAGCTTTTCACCAGTCTGACCAAAGTCTGGATATGCATTCAGTTCCAGCAGCCAGGGAACGCCATCCTTATCGACGAGGAAATCGACACCGAAGAGCTCAAAGGCGTTTGGCAGGGTCTGGAAATGAACCATCATGCCTCGTGCGGCCGCCTCGAAGACCTCTCCGGTGACGGCGCAGATCTGGTCGAATATCTTCTCTTTCCAGTCGTGGCTCAATCCAGGTACATGGTGATCCAGGTCCCAGAACCGTCGGACGCTTCCCTCGTTGGTGCTGCCGCCTTCTTGGAAACAGGTGTTTGTGAGGTGTCTGGCGAGATCGATGACCTCGTCTTCATCCTCCCATGGAGGACAGTATGGTTTCGCGGCGAAGAGAGCCAGCATCTCCTTGTAGACGTAGACTTTCAATGAGCCGACAGCCAGCACGTAAGTGCGGATGTGGAACTTGCGGTTCGACGAGGAAGGTAGAAGGAGGGGAGGGTCGATGTAGGGTTGGGCGATGAAGTGGCGTAGCTGGGAGGTGACGACGCCTTGTCCGTCCCCGTCTCCATCCCGGTCCTCGGTATCTGGGTTCTCGGGTTCGCTTTCCTCATCCGAGTCGTCCTCCTCCCATTCTTCGAATACCTCGCGTAGTTGATCCTCGCTGTTGAAGAGACGGATGCCTTGTCCGCGGTCACTCATTCCTGCTTTCAGAATCCACCATTCCTTTTCTGACTCCGGTTGGCCTTCGTTCCTGTCCAGGCTCTCGCGGAGCTCGTATGCCTCGAGCAGGGCCTCGTCTAGGAATTCAGCGTAGTCTAGCTCGAAGTCGTATGCGAATTTGAAATGATTCCGTAGGACGCTGTCGGGGTGCTTGGTGACCCAGTTGGCCACTGTGTTGGAGAGGTAGTGCTTGCGAATCAGCGCTTTCCGGATGATATAGGCGTTGACCAGGGAGGTAGTCGAGTTCATCATCGCATGCTCAAAGTCCAGCCGTTCGTATTCGCGATATTGAAAGAGAGGGGCGGAGGGGGAAGGAAGATCGGACAGCTGCGATATGATTCGATACTGTCCTTTGTGAAGGCGGCGCTGTAAGGCTTGTTCCATCAGGCTCTGCACGTAATGATCGTCGCTGTCCACGATGGAATAGAATGCAGATTCGTCATTATCTGAGCTACAGAGTCTAGGCTGATTAGAATGCATGTCTTCTAGAATACGACCATGGACCATCAACCAAAGCAAACAAGGAGAACGCTAGAGGAGAGCCAAAAGACACGGAGGTTAAGATCAAGGTCGTATATCGAACGATGCGACACGCTCATGATCTAGTTGGATCTGTTTAGACGCGAATCCGCTCGTCAAAAGGGTTCACTCACAGTTTGATTTCGCCTTGGATGCCTGGTGTACGCATGAAGGTGGCCTTGAGAGGGGTAACACTGGATCCAAAGAGTCAGCTACGGGCCCGATACGGGGTAAAAAATGAGACAGGGTCGAGAGGACACACCTGGTCATTCCCTCGCGCACAGCGCGACCATCGTTGCCCGGTCCACTCGCCTCCACGCTCTTCCACACATCTGTGAAATCAGGATTCCACTGAAAGTGCTTATGCTGGAACCGCATCCTCCTGCGTGGCCCTGTGGCTGGAGCGGCAGTGGGCTTCTCCCCTAGTCGTTCACCCTGGTCCCGCACCCTCTGCTCCTGTACCTGGGGAGTCTCATCCGGGAGCGCTGCATCAACAGCCTGAAAGCAGCTGCCAGTCCACCTATTGTCAAGCATACTGGTGTATAGCACCTTGCACTTGCTCATCCCCGGCTCCAGAGGCACATTGATGTTATACAGATCCACTCCGTCCGCCCAGTTCTCGCAGAGATATTCAATCAGCTTCACGGAGTGCTGCGATGCTTCAGCGATCACAACAGGGTCGTGGTTGCGCGAGCTAAAGGCATAGGAAAGGGCAATGGCGCGTTTCCCACAGTGCGCAGCCTCCAAAGCTCCTCCGATTGTCCCGCTCGACAAAGCGAATAAAGCAGTCGTATTGCGGCCGTAGTTGGGACCCGACACGACTACGTCGACGGGGCCGCGTTCTTGAAAGCAGTGGAAAAGACCGATCTGGACACAGCTTGCCGGCGTCGAGTCGATGAGAAGCCACTCGTCACCGTCCTCGTCGTCGTCGGTGCGGGGGAAATCGTGGATGGTGCCATTGTCTTCGTGCAGGGTGCCGGGCCGGAAGTAGGTCGGTCTTACAGAGGCACCGATCAAGTGCGCTTTACCGATCCATGAACGCTGTTGATGAGGGAGGACCACTGATACAACATGGCCGGCGGACTGAAGAGTGTGGACGAGGGAATGGACGTAAGGCGAAGATTTGTTTGACGGAGGACCGTCATCGTTGACCACCTAGGTTGAGGAGCATGCTATGAGCTGGGCTCCTCCACGTTGAAGAAACTGCAAGAGTCCAACTTACCAAAATGTGCATTTTGATCAACTGCTGGAGAAGGAGAGTGTTTGGTGGAGGAGCTGGATTGCTCATGGAGGGGCATTTTCTTTATCGAAAGTGGGCCCTTTTACTCCGCATTTTCGGGCAGCCCATGCGGTTTGGCATCCGAGGCCTGTGATAGTCACTATGGCTTCCTCTGCATCAATGGGATCGTATACTATGGAAGTGCTTGAAGACCAAAGAACTTCATGGCTATTACTGGCTCATTACACCGTCCCCATAATAGGGCAAGTTATAGTAAAGGAATTGTTCGACTTCGCATTCAGGATCCGCACCACCTGGAGATATATATACATCACTCGCAATTACTTGGGTATCAAAGACTTGAAGTCATGAAGGTCTCTAGAACCAAATGAAGATCGACCGCCCGGCCTACGAGTGGCCTTCACTAACTAAACGGCTACGGCGCCGCTGGACACCCCTCGCTTCCGCGCTCTCTAAGCCAGTCCCTGCGCCACTCTCAGAAGGCCAAACGTCTCTTCTACCACCAGGATCACGGCTTTCTTCGTCTGTGTCGCTGGTATAAGAGGACTTCGGCTCCTCTTCAAAATCTCCTTCCTTTTTAATCCTACTCGTCGGCTGGTGCTTCGGAGAGTGGGAGTCAGAGGGCGAGTCCAAAGCAGAAATGTCCGCTGCCTCGTCATCATATTCCTCCTTGATTGGAGTCTTCCCGCGAGCCTCTTGTTTGATATTTACCTGATTCGCTGGCTTCGTGCTCCATAACGAAGCAAGGACAAGCCACGCAATGCTTGAAGAGACCATGGAGACGCTCCAGAAACCGAAACTGAAGACCAAGAACGATAAGATCCTCCAGTTGTACATGACCCATCTATTGCTTTGTTAGTACAAAATACGCCCTGAATCCTAGCCCGCAGCTTTGACGTACCTTAGCCCCGTAAACCTAGCGTGAAATTCCACCTGAGCCGAGTAAATCTGCATCGGCTCCTTACTATGGACCTCGAGGCGTAAACTCGCCGGAAGGTTGCGCCAGCCGCGGGAGAACTCAATCTTCTCAAGCATGGGCACCCGCAGAGTTTCCGCTTCACGCTGCCACCCCAGTACATACAGTGGCATGAAAGAGATCTTGCTAGCGGTATCCACCATAGGCGACGTATACGTCAGTATAGCCGGGCGTCGCGAGTGCACAATCCGATTCGAGGATGTGTTCTGGCCAGTGGTGGCGGAGGTCGAAGGGCGGGAGAAGAGAGATAGATCCAGCATAAAGTTTCCAGCAGCGAGGTTGGACGGCGTCCGCGGCATTTCGAGTTTCACGGCGACATCATATGCTTGCTGAGAGACCAACTCCGACCCAAGGGAGGCGGTACCCCAAGGCTGGTCATCACTAGAGACCGAAATCTCGGTAATCAGCCAACGATCCAACAATATTTTCCGGGGACAATTCCATTCTCCGTTTTTGACCTACCCAAACTGTAGATGCACTTGTCGCGCAAGCCCAATTTGCGGGATGAACCAATAGTAAAATATCGCATATGCAACCGACGAAACGAAGAACATGCATACAGCAGTTATCGCAAACAAGAGAGTTCCCAGATAGGCTTTCTGTGCTTGTTTCGAAACAAGGGCGCGAAAGGGCGCTACCAGCGCGTCCTGGAGGTCATCGGACCGTCAGCTGTTGAATCAGTGAAATGTAGAGCGATGGCTTACCGGAGGCCAAAAGGAAAAGGTATTGCCATCCTCCACATCCTCATCTGTCGCATAATCAAGCTCCGACATGGTGCGACCAAGCTTGGTGTGGGTTTGAGGTGGGAATGGTATCGGGTGATGAGAGTTGTGTTTTCAAAGAGCTCCGACGCTTGCGTCGACGTCACCGAGGTTTGCTTCCCCCACGGACAACAAAGGCCGTTACTATGCGCCCCAACTAGAAGCAAATGTGCAGCCATTACGAAGGATGCTATACTCCGTTAGTTGTTGTTTCCTTTACATTCACATGTATCAGAACTGAACATGCCATATTTTTGTTTCAATAAGTTGTTCAATATCAATTCATGGCAGCGTTGGCCTAGTGGAAGCATGAGCTGTTACTATGAAGTAGATGTAGACCATTACCCATCCCTTTTTAAAACATATCGTTACAAGCACTGCATTTGCAGTGTAAAATTAACAATCATCCAGCAGAATGAAAACAAACCAATACAAAAGCAAAGCATTTGGTTCCATGTGACTGTATGCTGCGCTGACATGTCGTAGAATGCATAGTTAAACCCCCCAGAAACCCAAGCGTAAAAATGATAATGACACAAACAGTACAAGTTTCAGAATGAAAAGAAAACAAAATCCTTAAGAAAAGATACACTCCAGTAGAGCACCGAATTTCTAACGTCGTAAGCGGCATTTCGAGTATACCGTGAGAGAAACGACATCTTCGCCGAATGCAGGTCATCGAAGCATCATCAAATGCCTCATATCAATCAGAGATGGCGAGAGACGGGATCTCCTTTTCAGGATACCTAAGGCATTGCCCTAGGGCTTTGTTGCTGAATGTGTTGGAGAAGAGCATCGAAGAGACGACCAATCTGTATTCGTTAGCTTTACGCACATGGTACACTAATCAAACCGAAGAGTGACATACCTCAGGCGCAGCCTGGATGAAAGGAAGGTGGAAGAAAGTGTAGCTTCGGTTCTGGAGCAACTCCTGGAGAGTGATGATCAAACCCCAGGGGTGGGGGCGATGGACGATCAGCCGCTCCAACAAGACTCGGATGATCTGCTGACGGATATCGGATCCATCCTGCTCGGAGTTGTCCACGCCGAAGAGACGAAGAATGGCAAAGCTGAAGAAGTAGGTATGGCTATTGGGATAGCGTAATTGGTTCGCCATCGCACTGAGCAAGTAGTAGCGCGCCTCAGGTCGTAGCACCTTGGCGAGGCTCTCCAGAAGCGCCGAATGGGGCGAGCTGTCAAACGCGGCGCGAGTGTTGCCTTTGGACCCACCGGCAGAAACAGCATCCTGACCAATGTATAGAACCAACGCGTTCACTAGGACGACGTTGACATTGATGGGAGTGTAGAAGAGTCCAGTATCCTTGTTCACAGGGTTGTAGATGGCATCGCAAATCTTCTGGATGGACGTCTCTGATTGGTTATTGCTCTGCAGCAAGCTATCGACAACACCTTTGATGTTGGCGCGCTGTAGAGGAGCAGCGATGTCGCCGGCAATCTTGGGAGCTTCACGCATCTCTTCCAGGCGCTCGACTTTCAGACCTTCTCTGAAAGGATCTGGAAGCTTGTGGAAAGACGACGGGTATGCGCTCAGAACAAGGTTACGGAGCTGAGCGCAATGGGCGGGAATGACATTGCAGAACTGAAAATGATTTTCCGCAACAAACTCGGGGAAGTCATGGTGCAAGATCAGCAGGATACGAAGCACTCCTTTGTAGAGATCCTTGGCAACATAAGAAATGTTTGCTGGCTTGAGCTGCTCTCCTATGTAAGAGAGGAGAGCCTGCATTATTTCGCAGTAGGGTCCCCAACCAGCACGCTCGGGCATATTCAGCATTCCTGACATGAAAAATCTGTGGGACACCAGTGAGAGCCAGCCGTAGACGAAACCGGGACAGTACTGGGGCTGGAGTGATAGGAACTTGTTGGCAAGAGCAAACATCATTTCCTGATCCTGATCACTCTGCTGAAGTCCGTTCAGAGAATACTCGCACAAGATACTTGAGAAGAGTCTGAAAAATACGCGCTGGTTGAAAGCCTCGCCGCGGATAACGTGGTGATGATTCAACACCAGCACGAGCATCGACAGAACCGAGTTGAAGTAGACAGATTTGCTGGTTTTGGCCGAGCCAGTGCTCTCTCCTTGAAATTTGACTAGCAGAATGACCAATTTCGCAAGCGCATCGATATAGAGGAAAGCCTCATCGAGGCTACCGTTAGGATTCTGCGATTCATGCTCGAACATCGCGACGGAGATGTCAATGCTGAGCCGGAAGAACAAAGCAGAGTCCTCTTGATTATCCATGACTTGCCTCTGGTGCAGGTCCTTAAGGAAGGAATGATAGGTACGGTCGGTGGCGCCGGGGGCCTTGTAAATACCGATCCACTCGCTGAAGATGTACTCCATCTGATCCCGCTTTGCTCGCGCTTTGTCGCTGAGAAGAGGGTTGACGACTTCAGGGATACCGGACTCGCGTAGTTTGCGGATAATTTCATTTGCAGGAGCAAGATTTGCGTCTTCTGCAAGCCATTGGCTCATCGCTTCGAGACTGCCAGAGAAATCAGACCGCAATGCAGAGGGCTCTTCGTTGAAAAGCACTCGGTCCATCAGATTGGCCAGTATTTCGAGTGCACCCGTGTTCTTCTGACAGATAAGCCTGGTGAGACTCATATCAACGCGGCGAATGTCCAACAGTCCAGCATCTATGAGTGCCACTGTGACTGGGACATTGAATATATGCTCGTCATCTACTTCCGACAAGACAACCCAGGTATATCTTGCGACGAGTGAGGACATATCGCACAGCTTCGCAAGCAAATGCACGAGTACCTCGATCTCAAGGTTACTCGGTGTCTGAGAATACAAGGTTGTGCAGATCTTCAGAGATGTTAATCTTGCCAGCTCTTCGCCACTTGGAGACGTAAGGATAGTGCGTAAAGCCTGGTTGTACTCCTGTAACACAGCACTATCTCTGCCAAGGTCCTTCACGCGCTCCTCGGGTGCATTGCGAGCCGCTTGCTGTAGATCAGAAACGATGCTGTCGACTTTGTCACGAGGTGTTGGCGCCTCCAGAAAGCCATTCAGTTGCGGTTGTGCGCCAACGAGCCCGGTTTGCTGCAGACGCGCGTCTTGCTGAGCCTGTGGAGTTCTATGAGGTACAGCTGGCTGTTCCGCAGGCGTAGAGAGGTTAGGAATCTGCGCATACGAATCCTGGAGAACATCTGCCAGCTGTCGACCGGAATCAGTCGATACGTTCTGAACGTGAGTTGCTGCTGGACCACGAGATTGACGAGCAAACTCCTCATAAATGGCCAGCTGCTCTTTGTTCAGACCACCTGGGGCTTGTCGGTAGGGTTCAGGAATGAACAAGCCCCAACGATTCATCGAGGGGTCGATGAAAGGTTCATTAGGTCTGGCAGCCCGATGACGCCGGCGTGCTTCCAACTGTGGTTCAATAACCTTTTCAATCTCAGGGAGAGACTTTTCCTCCGCCGCCTTCTCGACTATTCCGCAGGCGGCATCAAGGTTGTCATTGACACACATCAAAATCAAGCCTTCGGGCATGGGCTGCTCGGAGTACTCTTGCTGAATCATTCTGATATAGTTTGTCATGCTAACCTTCAAGGGCTCCTTGCAAGTCACCAGGGCCAGGCTGCCAGCAAGCTGTCGCACCATATTGCCAGCGGCATGTCGCACCTTTTCCTCGTCAGGCTCCATGGCAAAGTCCTTGGATACAAGCTGCACAGTTGAAATTGATGCAATCGTGACGGAGCGTTCTACAACTGGAGTGATTATCTCCGCGATGGCGCGTTCAACAGCTGTGTGGACAATTTGCCGGAGGACGTTCGGGTCAACCATGCTGCTCGCTGAAGATGGTAGAACAAGAATTTTGTCTAAGCTTGGAAGAGTGGACATGATCGCGGCGGGAGACAACCTCTCTGTCCGCATTCCCTGGTTGATGGTGGTGAGAGCCATGTCTTCGAAGGCTTCAAGACCTTCAGGAATATTTGCTGTCGACAGCGCATCCTCGATGTGAGCCGAGCGATCCCGGATAACGACGGAGGGTTCGATTGTCTTATGATCCAGTTCGAGATCTTTGCACAATACTTCAATCTCAAATTTGAGATTCAACTTTAGTTCAGCAAAATGGTACAGTTCCAGCAGAAGAGCGAGAATATCCATCAACCATGGGTTTGGCGGCTTGAAGACAGTGGACTTTGTCGCCTGGACCAGCACTTTGCAAGTGAATGGGATCACGATGGTCAGACGCTGACTGTCATAGCCTTCCAGGAGAAGACCCTTGAAGTATATATCCTTGTGCTTTATAGGCTTGTCTTTTGCTATGGTCAGTGAACCGAGCCATGAGCCGAGATTTTTGAGATGGCCGCGATCTGTGGACGAGTTAATCGTCCCCTCTGCATTCAACAGCTTGCACACGCTCGAGTATGTTTCTCTCAGAACTTCAGCCCATAGAATCTTGTCATTGATGCGGTCAAGAAGATCGAGATAGAGTTGCTGGAAATTTGGCTGCAATTTCGCTCGTTCTTCCACCAAGTACGATGCGAACCACTGATGATGCTGGTCTCGCAGAACGTCTGTGAGATCGTGCAGCTTCTCCTCAATATTTTGCTCCGACACGTTGTTTAGGACGAACAGTATCTTGTCCTGCACCTCCTCGTCTGGATCATGGTAAATCTCAGGTCGTAAAGGTGAGTCGACATGGATAGACAGGAACTTGCGGGTGGGCCCGTCTGGTGCGGTCTCATCGAGGGTACCGTTGGTTATGGACGCACCAGTGACAATCTCTAGTCTGCCAGTATCAGAGTCTCGCACTTGACTTCCCTGCTCGCGTAGGACTTCTTCAGCCTTCTGGAAAATGGGCGTGCCCTGCAAGCTCGGAATTTGAAGCAGGAGGTGACAAAAGCCGGCCCACTCGGGGAGACGACTGATCAGCTGCTCAATGGCCTCCACTCCGAACTTGTACATGGGATCGTGAACGTCATGTTCTCGCACTGCCTCGAGAATCATGCCCAGCCCAACTTTCAGCGTGATTCCGTCGACGAGCCGGAAGTTGATGATACCACCGAACATCACAGCTGTCTTTGTGAGTGCTTCCAAGGGATATTCGTGGTAGCAATGGTACTCGTCGATGAGTCCATGAACCATGCACGCGAAAAGATCTTGTTCAGCCGGATCGCGAGATGTCTTGTACCGTCGCATCAACTCCAATATTTCCCGCAACGAAAGTTCTTCATGATACATCTTGCCGAAAAGCTCCTGCATCTGTTTGTCAATAGCTTCAGGTAACGCATTGCCGTTTTCGCCATTCGCGTCGATGATATCGTCAAAACCTTCCCCGTAGTTGATAAGCCGGGGATAGGTCTGAATGCAGATTCGCTGCACCGGCGTGAGATTTTCACGGTCGCCAACATATTCCTCCAAGACAGACAGCAAAGTATAGACAGTCTTCACAGAAAGACTGACCATTTGCGGAGCAGGTTGTTCCTTCCTCTGGACATGCAATTCATCTTCTGCCTTAATCCTGAGGTATTTAGACAACAAGTTACCCATATCCATTGGTCCTTTCTGAGCTGCATTGCGGACCCATTGCTCGAGGTCAAACGGCCCCTTCCGATGAGCATAGCAAGCCAGATCCATAGCAAGACCGTTTGTGTAACCAAGCAAGTAGTCCAGCCAATCAAACTCGACAGCATGCTCGTAGATTGCGGCTGTTGAGGTTGGGTCCTGAGTGAACGTGGTGAATAGCTGCTCAGCTACCCACTGGCGATCCTGACGCCAAGCTC